GTCTCGCATCATTTCGGCTTCTCATCCAGCCACAGTCACTCTTTTGCCGGACCCTGTTCATCTTTCAACACACGCTCCTTCTAATACTAATATTCTAATCTCTCGGTTGCACCATTCCACTCTTTCCCAGCGCCGATTCTGAAGACTTTTTTTTCTTTTCCCGTTTCTCATTCTCCGTCTTTCCGTCTCCGACCACCAAAAAAAGCTTCCTGGAGAACTTGATCGTCATTCTTTCCCGTTTCGGAACTTCGACCCGTCAGCCAAACTCCCTTACACCCGCCCTCGACTCACCACACCACCAGTCAAAATGGCGTACTACCAACAACAGCAGCAGCACTCCGATCCTACCTTCTTCACAGAGGACCACGACGAACCCCAACGACCACGAATGGGTTCTCGGGACGCCGCCAAGATGATTGCGAGGCAACGGCAGGAGATAATCGCCAGCGAGCTTTCCCGGATAGCTGGTGATGAGTACTTGGAGGACATCATGAAGCACATGAGGCACATGGAGGTAGGATAAAGAGGAAGGAGCGTCTGTCCAGATTTGACCGGCTTTGCTAACAAATAGCTTCAGGATGAGACGATGCCTGATGCCAATCTCATCGACATGCAGAGAGAAATTCAATGGTACATGAGACCCTACCTGATCGACTTTCTCATCGAAGCCCATGCCGCCTTCGCCCTCCTTCCCGAGACTCTGTTCCTCACCGTCAACCTCCTCGACCGGTACTGCTCAAAGCGTGTCGTCTACAAGCAACACTACCAACTCGTCGGTTGCGCCGCCCTCTTGATTGCGGCCAAGTACGGTGACAAGAAGGACCGTGTGCCCCAGATCCACGAACTCAACAACATGTGCTGTGGCTTGTACGACGCCGGCATGTTCACCCAGATGGAGATGCACGTTCTCAACACCCTCGAGTGGACCATTGGCCACCCCACCGTTGATTTCTTCACCCAGCTCATCGTTGCTGAGGAGCACGACAAGGTCGAGGTCGAGCACATGGCCGCCTATATCTGCGAGATCGCCCTGTACCACCGCGACTTCGTGTCCACCAAGCCTTCCATCATGGCTCGCTCGTCCCTGGCCTTAGCAAGAGCTATCCTTGGCGAGCCTGAGATCAATGACGGAGAGTGGGACCACGTTGAGAACGTCACCCTGCTGACTCTCTCTCAACACCTTCACAGCCCCTCTGTCGCCCTCGCAAGGAAGTACTCATCACAGCACCTCTCTGGCGTCGCCAAGAAGCTTGCGTCCTTCATGGCTCACCAGGCTAGCATTGCACGAGCCCAGTCGGGGGTCCCTCCGAGTCCGCCTTCTGAATCCGCCTCAAAACACTCAAACATCTACAGCACCCCCCACAAAGGCCACGGAGCTGTCACAGGAGTAGTGGAAGGATACATGACTCCGCCCATCACCCCTGATGGCGCCGCGTACGGTACCGTTTCCAAGGACGCATACCCCATGCCACCGAGATGTCCGGTCACCCCCACGCCGCAACCGAACACTGCGGCGTACGCTCAGCAACAAGTGCAGCAGCAATACGCCCCCTTTGTACACCATCACGCGACGGGTCACAACATGGCCTAACGTCGACTAACACGAGTCGAACCCAGGACCGACGAGTCGGTCCGCCCCGCGAAGTCCCACCAGCGAACCAACGCTACGATACGGGCAATCGAAGCTTTTCCCTCATTATACCCGTGGCAGGGCAATTGAGCGACCTCCCAGGAAGTGGACGAAAAAGGAAAAAAAAAAGATTGTTTGCCCCGCATGCATACAGAATGGTTTTTTTTTTCTCATCAACATGTCATGGCATCGAGCGATTTGATTTTTATGCAACAAAGTCCATTTTCACTTAGCAGAAGTGTCCCAAAAAAAGGAATACGGATCATACCCCAACAACACCCTGAGTTATTTTTTTCTCAACAGCATTCAGCGGCTTTTTATTACACACCACACACCCCAACGAAGAGTTTTACGTTCGTGAGATGGTCACCCCAGGAAGGGTGAAGGATTGGAATCGCAGCGGGCATCCTTCCCGGTAATTGAAGTTGGATCCGGGCGACGAGATATCGACACCCCGACCCATTCACACAACACCACTGGAGGGATGCCAGCGAAAGTCAGATTGTAGGGTCTCCTGATGAGATTCGACCCGGATAGGAATTCTTGAAGCGCAAAAAAAGAAGCAAAGTGGATTTTTTTTCGACGGAATGGCGGGGCCTCGATGAACTTTGACCAGAAGGGCAAAGGACACTTGGCTTCGCTCAAGGAAGGAAAACATGTGGCCATTGAGCACACAAATACCTCCTGGCCGGTTTACTTTTGTTTCCGCACCTTGGAATCAATCATTTGAGAGTGGTGGACAGATGATTTCCTTCCTTGATTATTGGAGGCCGGATATCCCCTAATTGGCCGACAATGGATATAAAGGGATATGCAGGGAAACTGTCCTGGTCCACAAGTTACTTTTGGAGACAAGGCTGGATTTATTCTCTCCCGATAACCAGAAGGAATTTCTGGATGGAGAGAACGAAAAGGGACGACCATAATACGGTGCCCCCCCCAGCCGGGTGAGCGCCCTCGAGACTTTCGTATACCCGCATTTGGACTCCCTTATGTGTAAGGTAGCTGTACAAAGGCACAAAAAAAGAGTAAAAATTCTCTGCTACTTCTGTCATATTCTCTGGTTCCTCGACTTGTATGCCATGTCTCTGTGTCGGTGCTCTGTGATGTCTCTGTGTTTGTGACGGTGAATGTTACACACCAGGGGAAGGATGAAGCTCCTGAGATGCCCACATGGGAAATGAATTGCCCACCTAACACTTGTGCCCCCCCTCCCCTGCTCCCGGGGCTGAATGCGTGGCTAATCATAGCCGTTGCATTAGTGTTGTCCGCTGCACGCGGGATGGAGCCGCGGGAGGCCTACCATTGGACTTTTCTGTTTCTCTCGGATGATGTACATTTATGCGCTGGATATGTCACCATGCGAGTGATTATGAATGGATTTCTGTGGGCGTACACCTGTGTGTGTCTGGGGGGCCACTGGGTAGTGCTGGGCTGGGATTTTTTTGTCTTACTTTTTGTTTAGTTGTTGGGTTCTATGTCGCTCCAGGACAGACATTATCAGCATTTTGGTCTCTCAATTTTTTTTTTTTATGTTTTCCTCGCAATGGCTGTTCATCTGAACCTAGGCGGCTTTAATTTTTCCGTCTGAAATTCACGTTTAGGTTGAGACTCGAGAGTGCCATGACAGAGACGGGCTAAGCCTTTTTTGGAGATTTAATGGATTCATACGTCCAGTGACAGTGAGGTGGGGATTAGGTACCCAGGCTCTGGTTCACCCAAAGTAAGTGCTCCGTACAGGGAAAGTGGTTTCTTTGAAGGGGGGTGGGAGTGGGGACGGCAAAGGTACGAAGGTACTTTGAGACTGTGGTTGCCTTTCACCTTTGGACTAGACATCTGGAGGTGCCTGGGTGTGAGCTGTGCAAGTCTACCTAGGCACCTTGCCCACTTTGGGCATCTGTGTCGGTGTGTGATGATGTTAATTAGTTGTGCTTATTCTAGGTGTATTTGGGAGGAGGTTGGGGGGATATGTGGATGGGGAGTTGCTGTTCTCCCTTTTGTGTAACGGTGTCTAAGCTGGATTGGGGAGGAACTACCTTATTTAGTGGTTGTTTCTTTTTGGGGGTTGCTGGGAGGGGGCACTGGGGGAATGGGATATGTTGTTAGAATCCTTTGGGGGGGCTCTGGAAAGAGTCGATAGCTGGATCTAGAATAACATGTTCATATAAGGTACTCACGATTCTCAGGTCATCAGAGTTATCTCGTTAGCGATGTGTTTAACTGGTTTGCTGGCAGATGGTGTTGTCAAAAAACTGACAGACTGGTGGTAGTGGTGCTCGTAGAGTTCCAAGCTCCAAATTCCCAACTCTCAGTTCCCAGTTCCAACCCCCCCCTTTTCTATCAAGGTTTCCCTGCGGGGGGTGCGTTTGAGCATTGACGGCCTTTATGCGACGGGGTTGGGGGGAAGCAAGGGGAACTTGAACTTGAGATGGGTTCCGTGTGTTCCGTTGTTTTTTTTCTTTCTTCCATGATGCGTTGGCCAAGTGGCGGCATGTGGCGGCATGTAGATGGGGTTTTTTTTTTTTTTTACTCTATTGGTTTTCGATATTCGTCTTGACTTTGTGGCGATATTGGGGTCGATGTTGGTGAGTCACATTCGGATCATGGAGACTTCCCCTACCGTCGTGTGAGATTGACCCACCGGGGGATGGACCATGGACCAGATCCTCTTCAGGCCATGAAATCTTTTTTGGTTTGAGAGACTTTGCCGTACTTGAGGTTGGCATCCGGGGATACTCGTTGTTGCTCGAGGGAACGTGCTGAACGGTCAGCCGTTGTACGCGCGTGGGATATGAGATGATGTGTTTGTACACAGGGTACATTGCACATCGTTCATCTGATCATGTGGATTTTCGGTGTTCATGCTATACCCTTCAGACGGGCCGGGGTTATCCAGGTTGAGGATGATGTGTCTTTAAGGGGATGGGGGGTGTGCATTGCAAGCTTCATGGATGATGGGAGTTGGGAATCTTCTGAGAAGTCGATGTTGAAAGGATCGATGATTGCGATGGACGGAATAGTGAGCATGAAGTAGGACTGGGAGAAGTTGATCTGCAAAGATGTTACTACGAGGTGCCTGCCAGAGAGGACCGTCGTACCCGTTGTCTGGGACCTTGAAGGGTGGGCGACATTTCAGCATTACGCGCTCACCATGTTTGCATCCACCTTGGTGTCGCGAGGATGTTTGCGCATATGGATATGGACATTTCCATGCCAATAAGCCTTCAGGTGCGAGATTATGTTCGTCGCTGGTGATTGTTGGACATTGAGCGAGGGTGAAGCCACACGAGTGATACGGCAGTTTAACACTTATATGTGTCTACGATTTTCGGTTGTCAATTCTCTGAACATTCTTCTCAATATACTCTACTCAACTCAGCTCGTCTGCATACCTCAGTCTTTTACTTTGCTTCCGTTGCTGCGAGTCCAGTGTCCTAGGCTCAATGGCATGCTTCACCCTAATACCTTTCTTGTCCACAACCGTGACTTCGCTTCTTCCTTTCCATCCCTTCTCCTCAAAGTCGACCAAGCGAGCCCTTTGCTCCCCGTCGCTACAGATCGATTCCTCGTGCCCCATGCGCAGCAAAGAAGGCTTGCCATTGTCATCTTTGCAGACCGTCTTCCACACATCCCGGGGATGACCAGGATCGCACACCCTCCCAGTGCCGGGCACCCAGCGCATCTGTCCGGGCATACGGTGCGCGCCCAGAACATCGCGGCGGTCCTCGCCCATCCAGATGGTGCGCAAGCCCGGGGTGCTCTGCAGATAACAGACTTTGAACGGCAAGAGCCCAGACAGTCGACCATAGTCGCGGCCCTCAGCGATATCGATCAAGCTCGTTGCGTTTTCGAGAAACGTCGTCTCGCCATCGCCCGTGGTCTTGGCGACGGCATTCTTGCCCCCGCACGGCGACGAGAAGGAAGGGGCGGCGCCGTCGAGCCGCGGCGACTTGCGCACCATGATCAGCGTGACGCCGCCCAGCGTGGGCTCCTCCGCCGGCCAGACGGGCGACGAGGACGAGACGAGCGGCTCGCACGTCTGCGTGTCGACCACGGCGACCTCCATCTCGTACAGCCAGGTGGCCATGGCCTCCGAGGCCGTCTGCACCGAGACGCGGGAGACGGCGGCGTAGGACGCGCGGTGGATGCCCAGGGCGCGGACGTCGCGGTTGTAGAGCATGGGCAGCGTCGAGCCGCTGTCGAGGAGCGTGCGGAAGTGCAGCGTCGGCGCAGCCGGGTCGCGGGCCATGAGGGGGTGCCGCGAGGGGCGGTTTCTGCGGAGCCCTTGCGCCGGTTGTATGCCTGCGCGGGAGGAGGACGATGGCGGTGGCGCAGGCGTGCGCAATCTATTCGGCCAACGAGGAGGCGGCAGCAGTACGTCCGAGTCCGAGTTGAAGGCATCGATATCGTCGTACACTTCGTGCGCATCGTCTTTGGCGGAGCGCGCCGGCCAGTCCTTTTCGTTGCGCACCGTCGCCTCGTCGTCGCTGCTCCGGGCGTCGCGGTCGCGCTTCCGCTTCTTGGACATGTTTGTCACCAGGGCACCGCGGTAGACGAGGTTCTTCATCCGACGAAACGACATGGTGACGCTGTAGTGACCCATGTCGTACGCCGAGTCCGTCTCCGGGAGAAAGGTGCCCTTGCGCGCGGAGAAGAAGGGCGACGGACCGGCGGGATCGCGGGCCAGGGGCGGCTCGATCCAGAGCCAGCCCTCGCCGTGGAGGCGGCTGTAGCGGTCTAGGCGGGCGGCGCGGTCCGCCGTGAAGGAGGCGTAGGTCGGGGCAAAGTCGACGAGGTGGCCCGCGTAGAGAAGGGCCCAGTTTGCCGAATAGGGGATGCGGGAGGCGCGGTAGAGGGAGATGGCGGCGGTGATGTTGGCGCGCTCTGGGGGGAATGTCGAGTCGGCGAGGGAGGCTGCGAGGAACTCGATCCTGGAGGCGACGACTTCTGTCTTGTGCGCGAGGAGCGAGTTGAGGGGTGTCGTTGCTGGATCTTGGTTTGGTTCGCCCAGGGGAGGGATGTGCGAGTCTCTGTGTGGTTGATGGGCCGTGAGGGCATCGAGTTGAGCGCGGGCTTGGCTTAGTTCTTCCCAGATGGGGCCGGCAGCCTCCGGGTTTGATGAGACTGTGGACTGGTGGATTGCTTCCCACTGGGATACGAGGCGGCGTGCTGCTTCTACGACTGTGAGATTCTTGCCCAGCGGCGCCCCGATGACGAGAGGGGGTGTTTGAGATGGTGCCTGAGAAGCTTGCGGATTGTCGGGGCTATCGCTTTGGAGACGACGATGCCAGATGGCCTCGCGTTCTTGGGTTTCTTGCTCTATACGGACCTGCTCATCGAGCCCTTGTTCGTGGGCTTCGAGTTCCAAAGAATGACTAGAGTGTTCAGAACTGCATTCATTGCTCTCTTGCTGGTCCCCATCTCCGGCTTGGGCTGAGTTGGACTCTGTTCGTGGGAGCTGCGAAAAGGTGGTAGGCAAGTCGCGAATCTGAGCTTCCGCATTGTTGGAGCTAGCACCATCGGGACTTTGCTGTTGAGACATTATACTTGTCGTCGCGATGAGATTCTTCAAGCGGAAGAAGCGGCGAGTCTTTGCTGCATGGCTTTACTTGCAGAAGTCTGCGAAAGCTTTTCTACTTTTGAGACTACGCCATTTGCCTGCTCATTACGTTGGTGAGCTCCATGCGAAGGACGAAGCTTCCTAAGTCCCCACGCTCAGTCTACGCGACCTGTCATCTCTCGAATGCTTGATTATCAAACTCTTTTCAGAATTGCGAGGGTGGCAGCCTCGTGGCGGGATGCGGTAGCCGCCGTTGCTACGATTGCAAAACGGCCCGCGACAAAGAAACAACCATGTGCTCTACCGAAAATAGAACCAATTTGGCGAGAGCACGACCGGAACCGGCAATGCAATATCGCGTGCCGAATGCATTGTTGAAACATTGACCGATTATGTCTCCCTCCCTCTGTAGGTTGCCTCCTTTGTTGTCGTTGTTGGAGGCCTTTGTGGTGAACCATACCGCAGTGCCTCCTTGTGATGCCCTCTTTGGGTGGCTACAATGCGACGGATCATGTCATTGAGGAGTTCTATCAAAGCTCTTTCAAAATTGTAAAATGAGGGTGCTTCGCAAGTCTCAAGTGGAAGCTTGGGTTCCTTCAACTTTCTGCTTTCTCAACCTGAATCTGCTTCCGTTGCTTTTGTTAGGTTTTGGCCAATGTCTCTCTGTCTCTCTCTCTCTCTTGCGCAAGGTGACCAACTTTTCTCAAACCGCTGCTCTCCAGGTCACAGCTTTTATTTAACTTGGAGCTTGGACTTTTTCAAAACCTATCGTTCTGTTTTCCCAATCATCTGGGTTGTTCCCTTACCTTAACCGTTGTTGGAGTCGCAACTCTTGCCAGCGTGCTCTGAGCACAAGTATTAACAGCAAGGATGGCGCAGCCAAGGATGCGTAAGTGCCCCCCCTCAAAATTGAATCTCATATTGAGAGGCTCTAACTATACTGTAGCCGAACTGGTTGAGATGGTCAGGAGGCAGTACCATAGGTTTCCTTCCGACACGTGGGAAACCACACGGCTCGCACTCGAAAACCCAGAGCCCCACCGCCTCTTCGAACACATCGAGACACTCATCTCTACGCGCAAGATTGATGCCATCCTCCGAAATAATTCAGGCTTCCGTGGACTGATGGCAAGCCTATACGGCCAACGTTACGGATGGCTTCAAGATGCGGACCTCGGAGGAGCTCGTTGGGAGTCTACTCAAGAAGAGGGCGTCGAGGATCTCGCCACACGAGCCAAAGAGGCCGAAGTCAACAGCCGAGAAGCAGAGGCGCGGAAGAGAGATATTATGCTCCGGAAGATTGTCGAAGGTACCGAAGATCTGGATAGGTGGGCCAAGGTATTGGGCTTCGAGGGCGTTGTCTTCTCTCCGGCCGAGATCGAGGCAGTTGCGGTAAAGATGAAGGCCGAATCCGGGTCAATCGAAGGCGAGGGACATCCGGGGTATGGTGTAGGAGAAGAGAGAGAGAAGTTTGGTGGCTTAGACGCTACAGCGTGTCTGGACGGACCCGAGGGCACCTACGGTCTTTCAACGTACGTGGGTCAGTCCAGCCTCGTTGCTGGCGTAGAGCCAACGCAACCTGAGGCGGTACCACGAGCCCCAGCAGAGGGCGGAGAAGCACCGAGAAACCCCTTTACCACGGAGTGGCGTGCGCGTGATAACCCTGGAGGCTTTAAGTGGCCGAATACATACGACCCCTATTACACCAGCGGCCATTACATCAAGAGGTCGAAGAAGTACAAGCTTCCCGAGTATCATCTGCCACCAGAAGAAGAGGAGGAAGAGGAAGAAGAAGATGGCGGTGAGGATGTCTCGGCTGATGAAGGAGAAGAGCGCGATCAGAGTGGCGGATCGATGACCCCGACTGCGTTAGCTGCGACGGCCACGACCACTCAGACTTGGACAAAGCCTGTTTCGACCAGAATCACACGTTTTCGAGGAGGGGGTACCAAAAGAAATGAAGGGAGAGATGGCAGAAAGGATTCAAGGATACCGGTAGGCCAGATTTTACCGAGGTATTTCTGGGGGAACATGCTGACTTGGAGGACCAGAAACCTACGGCGAGCGTCCCGACTGCCACCGCCCGACTGCCGGAAGGCAATGAAGGAATACGAGCTTCTGTCCAGATCTCAGGTGTTAGGGGGCAATCGCCTCCAGAGTCTTCGCGCCCTGTGATACCGTCTTTCGTTGTCGACACCCGGGCGAGGCCTGCGCATGGGGAGACGGTACGGACTGAGTCGACGACAGCTGATCCGTCTGCCCCATCCATCTCCGTTACCGATACTTCACAGACTGAGCGCACGAGGCCCGCAAACCAATCTGGACGCGGTACTCTTGTCTTCAGAACACCTTCACCCGCCCTGGCCCCTCCGTCAACACACCCTCGCATCTACACTCCCCCACGAGAATTGATTGCTCTTGAATCCGGGTCGCCCAGCGACGCATCGGAGGATTCCGACGTCGATATGATCGATGTCGAAAAGGAAGATGCTGACGACGGCGAGACCTCTGATAATCTTCTCAGCCAACCCTTCGACGAACAGTGGCTCATCAACTGGCTGAAGCGAGACATCTCCACCACCGACGAGGACCTGCGCATGATCGATTACAAGGGCTGGCGCGTCCACTCGCCCAAGATCCAGCTCATACGGATCAAGAACTTCCTCGCGGACGAGGACATTGACCGCACGCTGGACTGGGAGCGCAAGTTTGCCGAGATTGGCGAGTTCCTGCAGCACTGCGTCCGGATGGAGGGCGCCACCGACAAGGACTGGTACGTCGACTTGAGGGAAGCGATGGGCATGCTGCGCACGCACTGGCTGTTTGAAGAGCACCACTACGGCGAGAAGAAGCTCGTCGTCAACTTCCCCGAGATGAGCACGACCAGCACGAGACTGCCGCCGCTGCTGGACGGGCGCGATCTCGTCGTTGAGAAGCGGCCCAAGGAGGCAGTGCGGCCACGCTACCTCCTGCACCGCGTGCCCGAGTCCGTACAGGACGTCGACTACCAGATCCCTGGACCGCTGCTGCGGAGAACGTTCTTGAGATGGCTCCGAGAGGATGGCAACCTCGTGTGGGCCGCTGACCCGTCGGGCCAGATGCCCGGCTCGGGAAGACGCGGAGAGGTCTTCAAGTACGAACCGGACTTCAACATGGCACTCACCGAAGACGAATGGTTCGCCAAGTGCATCGAAGGAGGGCCAGACACCACGTCGAACGAGCTGCACGGTGAGGCCAATTTTTACATCTTGGTCAACGAGTACATCGGCGGAGAGGTCAACGAGGTCGAATTCCAGGGTAAGATGCGCAAGACGCAGATCTTCTACCCCGAAGGCGAGGCACAACAGAGATTCGCGCGCTACCGAGGTGCGAAGCGCGCGGCGCTGCAGCAGTGTCTCTCTCACTTTGACAGCGTCGAGAACGTGGCCATCCAGAGCCCCTTCCGCAAACTGGTGTTACCGCTTACGAAGAAGCAAAAGAAGCAGGCCGAGGCGGAGGCCGGGCGGAACATTGTCTACAAACCGCACTCCATCAAGGAGCCGCCGCACGGTACCAAGCTCGACCCCCTGGGTCTCGCGTACTGGCACAAGCAGATGCGGGACAGCCATCTACTCCGCGCGGAGGACATGAGCAAAAGGACAATGGCTGACCACCGGGAGTTTTTGGAGGATATGGAAATGCCCGAGGACACGGTGCCACTCCCCCTCAACTTCCTCGGCCCCGTGACCCCCTTCAACTTTTTGAAGGAGGACGAGCAGGAGATGGTGGCGCGGTACACCCTTCTGCGCACCCTACGCGAGAAGCTGACGAGGGCGTACAACAAGAACCCGAGGCAGATGCTCGACGGCGTGGTCAAGAACATTGAGTTTGGGTTCCAGGGGACGGACTCGTGGGACATGAGGGAGGTGCTCGTCGCCCACCGGGACGAAAACGGTGACAGGTACCTCGGCATCAACGAGTTTGAGCTGTACTGGATGGACTTTGTCTGCGGCCCCTCCACGACGGCAAAGGCTGAGCAAGAGGTGCTCCCGAACCTGGGCCGGGAGTTTGAGGCGTTTGTCGCGCGGGTGCAGACGTTGCTGGATAACCCGAGCCAGGAGTGTCTTCTTGCGGCCCAGGGTAGGAATATTGGGCTGCAGCAGGCTGCTCTGGCCCTCAATTCGGGGAATCGAAGGGGCGATTATGTCTTCAACGAGGAGGCGGTAAACAAGTTCAGCCGGGTGCTTGCTGACCATGGAAGACTTGGGTAAGTCCACACATTAGTGAGGTATAAAGGGATGATACTTACAGAAGCAATCCCCAGCTACGAACGCGCAGAAACCGGCGAAGTAACAATAAGCAGGCCAAAATGCGACTGGCACCCAGAGCACCGCATGAACTGGGCCGAAGGCTCCGACCCCTGGCACCCCAACACGAACCCATGGCACCACGCAAACGTCCCGGACCCGGACGACACGTCGGACTGGTCCTCAGCATTTGACAACGTCCAAAAGATTGACGCGAGCCGCGATCTAACCAAGAAGCTGCTATGGTCTTGCGCCTACCGCGTCGGCATCGAGCTCGGCGAGCTGGGTAAGAAGCTCGCCTACGTCGACCAGCAGCTGAACATCCCGCACGAGTGGGAGTACAGAAAGGTGCAGCTTCAGGACTTGGCGGGCAGCTGGGGGAGCAACTTCGCGCGGGAGCGGCCGGGCGAGGATGGCGTCACGCCGCTCGCGACGTACAAAAGCGTTGTAAGAGCCGGTGATCCGGGCTCATGGAAGGAGGATATGACGGAGGACCAGGCGATCGAGCATGTCCGGAGGGGCGTCATCGAGGAGCTTTCCCGGGGCGACGGGACGCTGTGGCCCAGCCGGCCGAGGTTCGGCAAGGTGGGCGGCAAGGACGTCATGACGCTGCACCGCGAGCGCATCTGGGACTGGGCGAGGCCCGAGGTCTGTGGAAAGAAAAAGAAGCAATTTTTCTCGATGAATAGGTGGCCAGTGCATTTGCAGAGCAAGGAGAGGCAAGAGGAGATCCGGAGGAGCGTGACGGACGAAGGGGTGCGGGAGCAGGCGGAAGCTGAGGAGTTGAGGGCAAGGATGGACAAGGTCGAGGAGAGGGTAAAGCCCACGCCGGAGGAGATTCGCAGGGCGCAGATGGCGCGGATGCTTTCGGTGCCGTATCATGAGGGGAACGACGAGCGGACGGAGTTCTTCCCTGGTGAGACGGAGTTCTGGGGCGGAGATACGGAGTCGCAGAGGTTGGCCATTGAGGAACGTCTGAAGAAGCTCATCGACGGTAAGCATGTCTTTCCGACCGCCCCTTTCGCACAGATTGTTGTTCGCTGACCTTCCCTTGCTACAGGAGAGCTGAGCCCCAATGACAGCACGGCGCCCCGCGGAACGGGCTGGGTCAGTCGCAAGCCGGTGCAGGTACCTGGCAGCGGTTCCCTTGAGTCATCGGGGATTGACCCGGGTCTTGTGCCGAGGAGCATTCCGTCTCGGTTTTCCTTGGCGCCGGGAGGAATGTCGAGGTCGGTGACGACGGGTGGGGGGGCGGCGGGGGAGAACCGGCCGGCGCCTGCGACGCCCCCCCTGCCTGATCTCGAGGAACGGCGGCCTCTGTTCCCGCCGCGGTATCCACCGCGTCAGGGCCGGCGACGAGTGAGATTCAACGTCGAGGATGAGGCCAGTGATGGTGCTTCGGAGTAGAGTTTTGTGAAGGGTGACGTGGGCTTTGTATTCGTTGTGAATTTGGGTTTGGCTGGTTTCAGGCGTCAGGATGGAAGATGGTTGAACTTGCTTTGTACATCTAGATCCGCGTGTGGTGAACTTATTCTACCTTACTTGGGCGAAACATCTATCCCAAACTCTGATAAGTGCGCTTCGAGTATTGTCGATGAACTTGTATATCGAGCCCGGATTGGTAAGTAGTCTGGACGATGTATGCAGCGGGCCGAGATCTACAGACAGAACATAGTAATGAGGCGAACATTCTGTCTCGAACGACGTGCAAGACCGCTATGCTGATACGGTACATCCGGGAGACTGGACAACGCGACCGAGTAGGCAAATGTGTAGAAGTTCGCTTTAGCACCGGCTTGACGACCTGAAGATAGGTTGATGAAAAGTGCTTTTCAAATGTCCCGCAAATGTCCCGCAACCCGTCATTGTCCTTGATACCTTTGAGTTAAGGATCCTCGAGATGCTCAGGTGCAGAGCTTACCGCCAGCTCGACACTTCGACCTCCGCTTCGTCGTACCGTTTATTGATCGCTCTGCAAACTCGTGCATCAACATGAAATCACTTGGTTGATGGAACGTTTTCTGGAGGTATCGTAAAATTCATGCCCGTAGTATTTTGAAAAACCCGTCGGCTGCATTCAATGTTTGATCTTTATTTTCAGATCCGGAGCTAGTTTGCCCTTAGCCTTAATGTCATGCCCTGGCCAACCAACGATGCAGTGTAACACACGCAACTCCATGAAGAAATCCCGAAGCCGACACTTGTTCTTCTCACTTCCTCGCCTTCCCCATCATTCGTCCCTCTAGTACTTCTTGCCCTCACGCAGGGTGTCCGCGTACTCCTCGAGAGGCGATCTGATGAGCTTGGTCTCCTTCCACAGGTTGGGGGTAAGGAAGCCGTAGGTGTTGGAGACGGCGGTGAAGGTGGCCTTGAGGGTGTTCTCGAGGGTCTTGGTGGAACCGGCGGAGGAGGTGTAGGCGTCCTCGACACCAGCGAGCTGGAGGAGACGCTTGACGGCGGGGGAGGCGACAAGGCCGGTACCGCGGGGGGCGGGAATGAGCTGTTGGTCCATCTAGTCAGTTTCCCAGCTTCTTGGTGCGCAAACTAGAAGTCGGGTTGTACATACACGGACGGTGACGGAACCACACTTTCCAGACTCCTTGGTGGGCAGGGAGTGAGGGGCACCGAGGTTGGTTCCCCAGTAACCGCGACGGACGGGAATGACGCTGAGCTTGGCGATGATGATGGCGGCGCGGATGGCGGTAGCGACTTCCTTGGAGGTCTTGATACCGAGACCGACGTGACCCTCAGAGTCACCGATAAGGACGATGGCCTTGAAACGCGTGCGCTGACCGGCACGAGTCTGCTTCTGGACGGGCTTGATCTGCAATTGGGGAAAAGAAACGATGAATTAGCATTTCCCTCCCTGTCCGAAATAATACCCAAAGACCAAAGAACCCAAATCTCATCTGCATTGGCGATTGTTGCGTCGTCGTCTGCGAAAGTCGATTTCGGTTCCCGGTCGAATTGGAAGTGGATTTTTGTGTGTGCGCACCTTCATGACCTCATCCTTGAGCTTGGGCAGGAAAAAGTCGACGATCTGGTACTCCTTGATGGGCAGGGAGTGAAGGTAGATCTCCTCCATGGAGCTGATCTTGCCGGCCTTCACGAGACGGCCAAGCTTGGTGACGGGCTGCCACTCCTTCTCCTCGCTCTTGCCGCCGCGACGTCCGCGACCACGGCCACGTCCACGTCCACGGTCGCCGCCACGAGCTCCGAAACCACCGCCACGGGGGGCGCTTGCACCACGGTCAGCCATTTTGTGTCGTCGGGGTAAGGTGTTGCGCGCGAGTGAAGAGACTGCTGCTGCGGTTAGTCCGGTTGCGTGGTGTTTCGAAGGGGGAGGAAGTTATTTCGAGGCTCGGGTACAACTTTTTTTGCGGGGGTCTGTGGTGGCTGTCAGGGCCGGCTGAATATTTTGCGATTGTGCTCAAGGCGGGCTCATTGGACGGGTTTGGCGAGCCCTAAGAGGGTGGCCTGAACTTCGAGGCAGGAATCCAAGGTGAAGAGTGGGGGTCTCCACCTTCCTGGTGGATTCACCGAGTCACACCGAGACTGAGCACAGTGTGTCATGCGTGCATGTTCATTGCGTTTCGGTGTTTTCGAGAATCAACCTTGCAGGGTCTTTAAGAGCGAATGCAAAATGAGTCTTTACCATTCGTGAACTAGCATGAAGTACCGATAAGCATTGATACACCTTCGCTTTTCATAATCATTTGTTCACTGTGCCACATCCAGACACAAATTGTGCATAATCGTGATCCATTATCGTGGCCTGCTATGTACACCAGCCACCTACCTCCCTTCTCCAAACGACCAAATGGCTGACGGACCTCCCCCATGCGCAATGCAAACTCCAAAGCTGTGATGTGCCGGATATCGTACATGAAAACCAGAGAAAACCAGAAGTGGGGTAGTGAGGGTATCGCAATTAGAAGCAACTCGACGCTGCACTCTCTCGCTCCATCTCTTACTCGTTCTTCCTGATGAGCGAGTCAGAGGGCTTGACCCGTTGTGCCCATTCACTGTGAAATATGTCAGCGTGTCAGATTTTTGCGATTTGAAGAGCATGAATAAAACTTACGTCCAGCTTCCATCGTAGACTTTGCGCGTCTCAGGAGAGCCCCATCCAGCCTCCTCGAGAGCTGTCTCAATAACACAGGCAGTCACGCCAGTTCCACAGCTCGAGACGATGGGCTTCTCAGGGTCGACGCCCTTCTCCTGGAAGATCTGCTTGAGCTTTTCCGCGGGGTAGAAGGCCTTGGTCTCAGGATCCAAGACGGCGTTGAACGGGATGTTGATCGAGCCGGGCATATGGCCAGACGACAGACCAGGTCTCGGCTCCGGATCGCTGCCCGCAAAACGGCCGGAGGATCGCGCATCAACAATCTGTACGCCCTCCGCACCCTCTTTGTTGTGGTCCAGCGCAATCTCGCGCACCTCCTCAAACTCGGCGACCTTGCCCTCATCCAACTTGGGGATAGGGTAGGTATAACACTCGACATTGTAAAGCTCGCCAGACTCGGTAGGAAGGCCCTGCTCAACCCAGAGCTTGAAGTTGTTCAGAACGTGAACCTTGGGGTGGCCAAAGATCTTGAGAGTCCAGCCGACGCGCGGAGCGCTGAAGATACCCAGCTCCTTGGTGTCGTAGACGACGACGGTGTCCTCCTTGCGGATGCCCAGCTCGCTCATGGCCGCTGCGAAGTCTTTGGCGGAAGGCAACATATGGGGGTACTCGCTACGGCGGTCAATGACCTTATCGAGGTCGAAGAAACGGGCCTTGGGGATCCGCTGTTGACGGAAGACCTCGATGCCGGTGCGGCCATCATTGGGGAGAAACCAGGAGGCGCAAAGGGGAATGGTTCGCGGCTCGGGGCTGATCTTGGAGGGAGGGTTCTTCTTGAGGGCCTCGTCGAGCTCCTTCGGGGTGACAAGGTAGGAAGAAAAGGAGCGGCGCGCGGCAAAGGCAGCGGTGGCCTGGAAAGAGCGCGCAGTGAATTGCGACAACTTGGTGCCGCGCGCGGGTCGGAGAATAGCAATGGTAACCATTTTGACTGTGTCTGAATCAACTGGTTCTGGTTTGGGCGATTGATGTCAGATCAGGTTGGGAGGAAATGCCGGGTCGGGATGAGCGGTGTCGGTCAATATTAGTCGGTGACGACGGCAAAGGCCGGGAGCCCGGAACGCTGGGCCACCTTTAGGAAGGGTTAGAGGGAAAGAGGAAAATCACCACAAATGCTTGAGCCGCAGAGGCATTGCATGTGGTGGTTTTCTGTGCGGGGTTGGAGGTAAGGTGGAAGAGGGGAAGCTCTGAATGAGGCTTGCCGTCACAACCGTTTTTTCCCTTTGGCTGACGTTGTTTGTTCGAGACGCCGTGGTCGATTGTGGTTGTGGTGGTGGTAGTGGTGGAGGCGGTAGTAGTGTCGGACGGGTTTTTTTGGAGAAGGAGCAATGTAGCAAGTCGGCATGGATTGGGTGGAATGGGGTACCTCGGAGCGATGGTCAAAGTCGCTGGAATTCGGGGGGCGTCCACAGGTTCCCAGTCAGTGATAAGCGGGAGGAGGTCGGGGTCCGGCCGGTCACTGTGACTCCGTCTAAGTGGAGCGGCGCGACAAACAGCCTGGGAAAAGAAGCAAAAGAAAAGGTGCGGTAGCCGTGGTGGAACGGTTGGCGCGAATGCGGGGAGCTTGGGCCATGTCGCCATCTTTTTTTGATATGATTGACTGGCTGCAGGACCCTGTTGCCCCGCAGTTTTGCAGTCCCGCCTTCCCATGGAACTCCAACAAACAAATGGAAGCCCCAGGCCTAAAATCACGACAACAAGATTACTTCATGCAAAGAATAGAGGGTCTCATTCAGGCATACGACTCTTACACAACAGCACCTCTCAGGAAACACTGACGACAAACGAATCATATTCCGAGATATTTCGCTTCATCATAACAATTCCAATGAAGGTCAAGATCACCCGGTGGAATACCGTCGCGACGTGGCGGTGGGATATCCCCGAAGACGATGTCTGTGGTATCTGCCAAGTCCATTTTGACGGCACATGTCCAACCTGCAAATACCCTGGCGACGATTGCAGCATCTGTATGCTCTTTTCACCTCCGACCACACCGTTGCGGAACTAATGATAGGTAGTGTCGGGCAAGTGTGGCCACAACTTCCATATGGTAAGAGTTCGTCTTTGCTTGCCACGAGATCTTCCTAACATGACTGAAAGCATTGCATCCTCGAGTGGATCAAGCAGGACTCAGCAAAGGGCCAATGCCCCATGTGCCGTCAAAGTATGTTTCATCTCGTATTTTTGATATTCTGTTCAAGTAAACTCCTGCTAACGCCCTCTAGAATTCGAGTTCACTGATCCGAAGAATGAGACAATTGAGAGCTAGGCGCTTCTATTGGACATAATTTGAAATGGTTGGCGTTTGGCGAACTGGTTTAGAGATACCCATTGCCCTTGTGAAGGGTCTGTTGGACTGGCAACAAGACTACCCGGGCCTGCTCATCAACTAGAGGCGTACAGGAGAAACAAAATCTGAAAGATATCCAAACTTTCTTTGGGCCAAAATGAAGAGCATAATGTCAGTGGTCGTAGGATGTGAAGAGTTTCTTTCAAATAATCACGTCCCGTTCTGCTGACCTGAGGCCATGGCTTCGCGGGAGAAACGCATGGCTTTCTTACTCCGGTACATGAAAAGAAGTTCGTAGATCTTCAGCTGACAGAAAAGAGATGATAGGATGTATTTTGATGCAAGAATGGAAATTGCTTTCCGAGGAAATGCGATACCTCATTCCTGTTTCCGTAGGTATATTGACCTGATCTCCGAAGTTGGAGGTTCGCAATCACATGCCAAATCAGGCATCCTGTCATCACGTGGTGATAGTGATAAGCCATCCCCAACAGCCTGGAACCGCTCCACCGTGGCGCCCAATGGCTCTCCAGCTAGCTCCCGTGCTTCCCTGCAGCTCATCCTCGAAACCTCCGACCGCAGCTCTCATCTAACTCCAGGAAAAGATGACAGTCAGCTCGACACGAGTGACAACGTCAACACCAACACCTCGACTCCCCGCCCTCCTCGCCAACCATTTTGGGATTACAACTCCTCTTGTAAGGAGCACGCGACCTCGGAGGAACTCTACCGTCTAATGATGGCCGATGTCCAGACATCCCCGCGCCCCGAGGCCGAACAGCCCGCCCAGGCGCCTTTGTCGTCGTCGTCACAAGACCAGAAGCCTGCCCTTGCCGGCTCACCCGATAACAAGCTCGGCACCGATACTATAACTGCCATCATTCCTGTAGTGGAGACAGATGCCGCAGCTGAGAACGAGGCCGATGCCGAGGCCCTTTTGCCCAAGCTCGATCCCGCCGGTTTCTTCACCCTCATCTCCAACTCGACGGCGAACACCACCCACCACCCGACTGTCAAGTACATCTTTCTGGACGATGACCCCGATACCCTCACGGCCGCCCTCGCAGCGCATCACTCCTCGAACCAAATCTCGACTCCCTCGGCCTCGGCCTCAACCTCCAAGTCCGGACCCGGAAAGAACCTGAACCCGAACCGAGCCGTCCTCCTCGATGTCGTTCCCGGCGAAGACGACCAATGGAAAGTGTCATCAGTCGCTAGCCTTAGTGCAGACTTTGCTGTGACCGACGCCAGCATATCTCGACAGGAGGGCGAGAAGGAGGGCGGGCTGGTCCTCAAGATTGAGGGCGTCGAAAGCGAGGGTGCTACGACGATGCTCGACAAAGAAAAGGATCGTGCTGAGAGTTTGCCCAGCTCCAATAGCGGTGTTGCCAAGTCTGGTGGCGAGGAGTACGGACCTCTCCTCGAGGATTTTGAGCGCAAGATGAGTGTGCTTCGGCGGGTTGTCAAGGCTGGTGAGGGTCGGGCTGAGAGCGCTCGTGAGACGAAGCCTTCTGATGCCGAGGTTGAGCCGACCGAGGAATGACGCTGCCATCCCTGCATCTTTTGATCGAATTTCAGCCATATGAGCTACATAATTGGACCTCTCACATGGGCCAGGGAGAACTCGAGACTTGTAATATCAAGGTCAAACGGTAAGAATTGATGTGACTCATGTCTCTAGTACAAATGCTGACCAGCTGTAGAGAATGACAGAGGATTGACCTTCTATTAGATCTGACGGCAGCGGCGGTTGAGCAGCTGGACATTTTGTACGATTCACGGATCACGAATCATGATGGAAACCCGGAGTACAGATGCTTTTCTCTTCCCCTTTGGATGGCAGTAGCGATGCTCTCTTTTAAAATGAGCGACTCGTCCAATCCGTGACTTGGAATAGGTCGATCATAGGCGACTGGAATACAAGGTAGTCATCCACGAGTGAGCCATGTTACACATATCCTTCCCTAGTTAATATTGTAATGGAAATTTCAGTGACAGCTTCGTTCTCCTGTATCGTTTTGTCTCCGTTCTGTTTCTTGACCAAGTTTCAGCGCATTTTAACGCAATTTATACGTCAATGTGGTTCTGGGCTATGTAAGAAAATGGAGTTGAAATGTAATCTATGAGAAAAGCATGGAAGTGTACCTGTTTGTAAGTAACACCTGTGATTTGGGCTCAGTATTCGCCCGTATTGATGCAAATTCTTGTACGTGAGAGTGATCATGGTGGAGGGCGTCTGCATGGTCAATGGGCCGAGTCAGCAAAGACGGCACCACCGTAGCTAGCAGCAGCAGCACGACGTACAGCAGAACAATCGCCTGATTTGAGTCTCTGGCTGCCGCAGGGCTTCCTGTAACACTAAGATGCTATTTACCATATGCTTCTAGTGATTTCCACCATCTTGGTGGCCGCCACATGCTCATGTAGACGGCTAATAAGACTTATAAACACAGCCAGCTCGCTAGCCTGTATAAGATCTCGTTCCTTTTCTTAAATCTACCTAGAGGTCACCAGCGCACCTAGTATGACCTGCTATCAGTACCACCTTGTCTTCAGGAACGACATCTTCCATCAGCCATAGGATGTCGACATCTACGGTCATGCACCGCCGCACAGCAACCACTACAACAGCACACCTCCAGTCACCGTCAGCATCATATTCCGATGAGTATATTTTACAACAGGCGGATACAAGCAGTGAACTCGGGTTAAACTAGGGTGGAAGGGAAATGGCACAGAGCACTGTTGGAAAACTAATCCGTCGTAGTACGACGATAGTTTTTGTGCTCGGGTACCCTGCCCTTTTGGCAGAGGAGGAGTCTCCTCTTTAGTGGGGAATCATAAAAGTTGTGTTCTTCCACTCATATGGTCCCCTTCTTGGCCCTTTTTTTGTAGTCCTTGATGGCCTTAGACGCGTTGATCATGTCTTCTTCACTGGTCCAGGAGTCGTATTCTGAGGGCCAGCCTGTCAACTTACAAACAGCCATCTTCAATATCTCTGTGACTAACCACCCTGTCCAGTTTGGATAATCGGTTTATCGATTTATTTCATGGCCTATATGAACAAGCATCTTTCCACTTAGAAATTACTTTCTACTTTTTCGAACAACTACTATGCTCTGTACAGAACTTTCATTGTACGGATATAAGTGCGCCTTATACTAGTCTACATCAGTTCCAGCGAAAGCCGCCGTCTTTCCTCCACAACCCAATAGGGTCGTACCACTCCTGAACCCGCTTCAGGAACCGCCTGTTCTCCTCGCCATAGCTCGCCTGAACAGGTTGATCCAGTAGCGCATAATTCATGTATCGCGGATTGGTTCGGTAGAAGGCTGCCTCCTCCGGTGATAACGCCCCCGGGACGGCGTTCGAACTGCTCACCCCAGGAGCAAACGATGCCGCCAGCCGGTCTCCGTCTGCACTCATGCTCTCGGCAAACGCAAATGTGCTGGCGTCATCCTTGGCACTCGGCCAGGCGAGGGTATAGTCGATCCAAGCCACGTCGCCAGCGTCCGCATTGAGCCCCAGCACGTTCTTGACGCCAGTGACGGCTTCGCCGGCGCGGGTGATCGCCGCCGGCACCGGGACCAACGCCATGGAGAAGAGGCGAGTCTGGTCGCCAGCCGCCGTGGCGTTGGCTTTATCCCGGAAGGCCTGCCACTGCTGAAAGTACAAATCAGCGCCCTGCTGCCCTGCGAGGTTCGGGAAAGAGTGGCCGGCAATGAGCCAGCGATGGAGGGACAGATTGCCATTGTTGTTGGACGCGATGAGGGCCGAATAGTTTTGCACGGCGGTGGTGTCTGCGATGGGTTTTGCCGCGTAGAAGGCGGCAAAGGGGCTTGCGTCGCCGGTGGGCACGGTGGACGTGTTATAGAAGACGTAGACGTTGAGGAAGGACAGCTGCGGGTTGGCGCCGCCCCCCATGCTGAGGTAGATGTGCGACTTGGGGTCGTACTTTTCGCTAAAGGCCTGCGTGGCGGCGAAGACTTCTTTAGCCTTGTCGATGGAGAAGGTCAGAATGCCGCCCCAGATCTGATTGGTGTGCGGATACGTCTTGAGGGTGAAGTGCGTTACGATGCCAAACTGGTTTCCGCCGCCTTTGAGGGCGCGGAAGAGTTCGGGCTCGGAGGTCAGGTTGGCGTTGGTGACTTTGCCGTCGGAGAGGACGACCTCGTAGTTGAGCACGTTATCGCACGCCAGGCCGTGAGTTCCGCTGAAGTAGCTCAGGCCTCCGCCCGTGAGCACCCCGCCGCCGCCGATGGACGCGAATCGTCCCCCGGTGACGGTTACACCCTGAGGCTCGAGGGACTTGTACACGTCCACCCAGCGGATACCGGAACCCACAACAGCATACCCCTTGTCGGCCACGTTTTGGATCTGATTGATGGAGTCCATCGCAATGAGGACGCCGCCGTCGGTGCTGGACCATCCTGGGGATGAGCCGTGGCCGCCGCTCTTGATGGCGAGTTTGACGTCTTTGCCGCAGGTCGAAAGCACCTTGACAATGGCTGCCACCTCTTCGGTGTTCCGGGGTCGTGTGATGCAAGCTGGACTTAACTCACCACAAGTTTGAGTCCAATAGCTTGCCCGGACCGACTGGTACTCAGTCGTATTCCGGGCCGCGAACACTTCAGGCGGCAACTTGGAGGCGATGATTTCGCATGCTTGGGCTGCCGTGGAGCAAGCGCAACCCTCTGCTACGACGGGGGAGAGTAGCAACAGACCACCCAATAGGGCTCTGGTTAGCTGCCGCATCGAGCAATTGAACATGACTACCAGAATTCGACGTCGTTTATGAGAAACCAAATTGACCTGCTGCTAAACATTAGAACAACGTCTTCCCAAATAAATATGCGACGTTGGATAGAAGCTTTTTGTACTCCGTCAGCCTCACCGGCTTCCTCGGTAAGCCAGAAAGTTTCCGTTGCTTTAATATCGCTTTAATAGAGTTCATCACATGAGATTGCCCAGTGTGACGCAGGGCGGCACTTGATTGGAGGTATCCCACTGGCACTGGAACACGGTTCACTTGCACCCTGCGGAATGATACGAGACCTTCGTAAGTAACTTTGATATTTCGGAATCAAATACCCGTAGCAGGGAGGAGCCATCTTTTTTTTTTAATAACCCGACAAAAACGTTTTGAGAGGAGCGACCCACTCTGACCGAATGGTTAAGTTGGATAGGGTGAGTAAGTAAAATCCAAAAATGTTTGGATAAGTCTCCTCAAGGCAGCCAGAGCGCTTGCTTAATTGGAAAAGGCGCAGAGCCGAAGGAGCCGAAGGAGTTGTGGAGACGGAAATGGCTGAGCAGATTAAAAAGTATATTTGAGCTATATTGACTGCACTTCGGGTGGAAGACGAAGGAACTGGCTCTAGGCGACAGATTCCTCCTTGAGGTAATATGGTAAGTCTGCCAGAGCTGTCGTTTGAACAGTCAGCTCTGATTGGCTTAATATTCCCAACTTGTTTATTGTCATCCACCCCCAGATTCTGTCTGCCTTACCCAGACTGCTTAAGTTCTGTTGGTATCCGTATCACAGGATAATGGGTTCGAACCGTAGTTCTGTGAAGTGACGAACGGTCAATCGACTGTATATTGAATCTCTGCGTGAGGTGGAAAAGAGAGGTCCTAACCGTAGGTCAGCCCATCAGTTGGAAGCTGATATAGAGACCCGCTGATGGTCCCTGCGCTTGCCCTGACTCGAGGTCGAATTGGACTTCCAATCCGACAGGTTCTGACAAAGATCTCACTTGGGCTGGGTAAATGAAGTGCAGAGGTAAAAGAAACTTGCGTATCATTACCGTCTTGATTCCACCGTTCCGACTATTTTACTGGCCGTCTAAATTGGTACTAGGTTTCATACTGTTATCAATTATATGCGACGTATGTTGGGTGCTTGATGTGGGGTTTCGTGTCGCAGTCGGCGATTCCCTGCGCCTATATTCATCCCCTTCAAGAAGGCCAAATACTCCATGTGGCTTATCCATGCAGAAGACAGGTAGTCAGTGATTTTTTTTGGTGTCCTAGCCTTCAAATTTTTGTTGGCTTGAGGAAGCAGGCGAGGTGGGCGGCCCCAAATGCTGGTAGCCTAAGCTCCTGGGTTTCCCATCGTACTGAACGCGCCACTCTTGATATCAGAAGGAAACTCGTCTCTGTAATGTAATTGGGGTACCTAGTGAACCATTGCCTTTGAGGCATATATGGCACCGGCCGATTACGTGACCTCCTCTTTGCTTTCGGACGCAAGCTCAAATTATGAATCCCGAAGAGAAGCGCGGCTTATAAAGCACTGACGGGAGACGAGTGTGATTTGGGTATTGGTACGATCGTTTTAAAAGAACTGGACGGGTTTGGTTGGCCGAGCACCAGGGCTGGCCCCAGTGATCGAGAAAGAAAACACTTGGCGAAGAGGGTAGACATGATTATGACGGCATTCGTATGGATTCTATGGAATTGATTGTTCATCCCAAAACTGGACAACCATTTGAAAAACGAAAAGCCGCAAAAGTACTATTTGTTGAAAGCGTGTCGTCTGGTTATCAGGGGCTTGGTAGCTGGCTGTGGGTGACTGGCTGTTGGAATTTCATCTCCTCGAAGACGCGGTCTAGTTCGGGTCGGGGAGGATTTGCTCCCTGTCCTCGCGGTAGACGCTCTTCTCGATTTGGAGTTTGTGGAGGAAGTTTGTGAAGATGATGGATGGCTCGGCGGGTGAGACGGAGCGGCCCAGGCTGCAGTTGAAGGATGGGACGGTTGGCGGACTCGGTGGTATGACCCCAGACCGTGGGGAGAGAAGCGACCTGGAGGGCGGAGAGCGTAGAGAAGAGCATGTTGGCGGTGGAAAATTGGTTGATGATGAAGTGATGAGGAAAAAGAGAGGAACAGTACTCAGACGATGGGATGGACCGTAGATTGATGGTGAAGATGGTGGTTCAAAGAAGTAATTTTCGAAACGTGGAAGACCAAGGAACTTGTAATTTGATGCCTCGTTGCAGGCCTCCTCAATTATTGGCAAGTTGTCGAGTTTGTAAGCAGATTGTAGTACTCCAAAGAACGAGCGGCTTTCTTTGAAATCTAGGCGAGTTTGAGATGTACCTCTGACATGCGTGTATGTCGTGGTCTCCGTCACGTATTCTTGCAACAGGACCATCACACTCTGCCAAGAGCCTCGTGGAGTCGTGGTATAGTCTTGGCACATCCAAGAAGCAGGCCGGCACAGGAATATTGATTGACTGTGGCTTCATGAGTGCTGAACCTGTCCATGCGATTGTATCAATGCTCATCATGTCATTGACGGCTGTGCAACTTTTACTATCTCCGGATGCCTTCAAGGGAACAAAGACTAACAAGTCGTGGCGAAGCAATCGCGCGCATCGCACAACGTCTTACGAGGTGTAGTTCTGGGCCCGAAAGGAATGCCAATGTCTAGAATCGTACTGGGAATTCAATGATTGATATTGAGAAATCACAAAATAGTCTTAGAATACGGCCTACCCATCTCATTGTTAACGAGAACTCCATGGAGAATGCATTAGGAAGACTGAAACTGCTAGTAGGAACCATGAAGGAAACTCTTTTTGTGATTTAGGATACTATCGTCAAGAATCAGAGATTTCAAGGTCTAGGTTTGATGAGCTGCTCTGATGAGTCACTATGATGCACTCTACATGGAGCATTGAAGGAAACTTCCCAAAAATCAGGCATCTCCAACTGCTTGACCTGGCCTATGGAACCAACGCCATTGATCTGTCTCCCCACATTACCCATTCCTCGCGCATCTGACTTTTGTATCAGTACTAGGCCAGACTCGTGCATCACAAACTCAAAGAGTCCCAGGAAGTAGATGCTCGTAGTGCTACATAATAAACGCGCGGTGGCTACAGCAGATGGCAGGGGGCTACGGGATACAGTAACGTTTAATAGAGTGCTTGCCTTTTGTAGTTTCGCGCTAGCTGTAGTTGTTCTCCAAGCATAAGCACGGGCCCAGCAGAAATGCTGCGAGTTCAACCTAGCCATTGAACTATCCTATCGGCGCCGACATCCACTCATCTTGGCTCTTTTCGAGGCAAGACATGAATTCAACAGCTTTACCGAGCGGGTGAACTCAACGCTTTCGACACAGGGTTTCCGAGCTTGGCATTTTTTTCATTCGGAAATGAAGTGATGAGTGTATGAATCCGTATAGATAGGTTATGTGAGCATGAAATCCTACTGAATTCGGCGAGGACCGGCAGGTTGAAAGTGTGGTATGGCCGAGTCCAACGAAGGTGAATGAAATGTCGTCTCTGCAGCTTTGCTCACGAAGCTTTTTCTAGCAATGAAACGCTTTGAGCAAAAGCTCGCTGCCGGCGTAGGGTTCCGTCGTAGATGTATAGATCGCTGGTAAGCTAGGTGACCAGCGGTTTGCCAAAGTTGAAGTCAAAGAGATACAGTCATGGACAAATACTGATGCGATTGCCAAATTATCCTGCATAATGGTTTCCGGCAACGCCTCACTACCTTGGAATCGACAGGGAACTCCAGAGACGATGGAGAAGTGAGCCACGACAGTTAAAAAGAAGAAGATGAGAAATAATTGGTGTTCTGCTTTAGGATTCGAAAAGATGTAAGATGCTTATACCAGCTGTCACTCGTGAGCATGGAATAGCCCTAAACGAAAGAAAACGCACCGCCAGACTCTTTTCGCCCCTACAGAACATAAATGCGTCCACAACGTGAAGACCACACGCAGAAATAGGCATATAAAGCGGGAAGAAGGTATCCTGTTGCCCCACAGTGAATAAGGAAAAGGATCAAGTCCATATCACAAGTGAAAAAGAATGAGCCAAGTGAAAAGACACGTGGCAGACGGCTTAGTCTGCGCTTTTACTCGGGAGGATTCATGACAAGAGAAAAATACAGATGACGAACGAGGCAACGTATCTGCTCTATTCTATATTTTGATAGCTCGAGGAACATAATCGCAGAAACAACAATCTTGAACTAGTTGGAAACTTTGAAAATATCAAGTGAAAAGATTTGACTATCTAGTCGACTTGACTAACACTGGAATCATCAATGGCTATCAAAAGTATGGCAATTTACATGATATTCCTGTTTAAACACTAGCAACAATATTTAGTACCGAATATATACCATCATTACAGCGTTGAAAGATATGAGAGAAACTACTGAGCGTATTGCCTGGGTCTTTAACAATGTAGCAAACAGAGAGCTAATCAGTGCCAGCCGCCAGCGATTGCAATTTGAGTCTCGAACACGATCGGTGACATCAAATATTGGAGAAGGATAGCAGGGCCTGGATTCTGTTCCAAGAACCTCGGTTCTAAATACCTTTATGGTTCCGCCTCACAGATGAAGTGTCTTCCGGTTCCCGTCAGCTAAATATACACTCCTGTAGGTGTCGGGATGGCCTAGAAGGTAGGCAGCCCTTGGAATCTGTCTGTGGGAAGTCCAACTCCAACCGGCATGGACGTCCTACCAAGTCTTTGATAGTCTAGCGGATCCCCAGGCTTCGTGCTGAGAGGAAACGACTTGAGCAACAAGTTTCTGCGCTTGGCAAAGTGGACAAGACCAACCCTCATCTCATTGGCATGTACCGGTGACCTCTCAAGACAGTGGAATTGAACCTCTTCCGTAGCACCAAGACATCACGCATTGACATCACAAAACCAGGAGACAACCAAGTATTAAAAACGTCAATTTCAAGGTGACAATATTTACGAACCACTCATGCTAACGCCCCTGATGCAACAAATAAAATATAGCAACACACAACGACCATAGTCGCGCGGCAGAGTAGTAGAAAACGCCCGCACAAGTGTTCGATGGTTTTCCTCCTCGAAAGAAAAACCTGAATCCAAGACGCAACACAGAAGGGAAACACGTTTGAGTTGCTGAACAGTAAAGAAAGTCTGGTTTTGGGTATACAAAAACACCCTACGAAGTAAATTTGGCCCTTTTTGTTTTCCTGAGACCTGGGCTCCCAGAACTAACTCTTTTCGTCTTGGTTTCCCCTACCCAGCAAAAAGAGATGAAGTGACCTTTCGTATAATCCGTCCGTCTATAAAAGCGGCGTGAAGCTCTTAATTGGTAAAGGTAGTGAGAAATCGATCCGGACGTCAAGTCGGAGGGACGGTATACTGATGGTTGGAGAGAAGCCTCGGGTGTTGTGAGGCGGTGGATAACGGCGGTATGATGGGTATTTTGTACAGGGTCGGAAGAATACGATAAGCCGTCTAGTTGCGGACAGCAGGCATGTCGACCTTGCCACCAAAACGGGCGACAACGGCGGCGTCTTGGGTAGTGGCGGTCGGTTCCCAGGCAACTCCCGGCTGAACGATGCGGCGCATGATACGGCTCGTTGCCTTGAACACCTGAGTGTGCGCAACCCCGGTATCGATGGGTACCGAGTTCGAGAACTCGGGCAGCTCGAGTATGCCAATGTTGCGCTTCGCGCGGGCGGTAGCCGCGGGGGCAGGAGCAGCCTGGCCCGGCTTGATAATGGCGAAGTAGATGGCAAGGATGACAGCGATGATAATGACAATGAGCACTGTAGGCAATCAGTAAGGGTTCCCCCGCCCTTCCAGTCAAGAATGCAGACTTACCGCAGATACCCAGGCACCACCACTTCTTCTTGCGGGTCTTGCGGGCAGTGTTGACCGCAGTTCCAATCTCTTGGTTGCCCTTATCCAGGTTCTCTACGACCTCCTCGCCCTTCTGCTCGATCTGCGTAACAGCGGCCTCTTGCTGCACAATCAACACATCCATGTCCTGGAACAGCTGTGCGAGCTCAATCAACTGCTGCTCAATCTTCTGAAGGGCGGCCTGGCGGTCCTGGACGGCGTTGAGCACGGCGTTGGCTTGGGCCTGGCGGCCGCTCTGCATCACGGCCTGCTGGAAAATCTGGGCACCGGCACCAGCGTCTTCAACCGCCTCGCGGACCTCGCGCTCGTCGGCGTCGGGTCGAACAATGCGGTACTGGCGGGCCATCTGGTCCTGAGTACGCTTACGGAAAGCCGACTCGACCTGCTGGTACTGCTGGATAGCACCCTTCAGGCGGCGATCGATACGGCCGACCTGCGGCGAGTTTCTGGCCGACTGGCCATCAGGAGTGGACTTGACTTGGCGCACGCGATCGGTCAGGCTGCGGTACAGGGTCATCGTCTCGGAAGAGAGGGCATCGAGTTGGCGGACCGTCGAAGAGTTTGCTGATGTATCGGCGTCGGTCAGGGTTCGCTCCTGCAGCATGCGCAGCTGGTTCAAGTTGGCCTCGATCTGATCAATTCCTTGATCGATGGATCGGCACTCGTTCAGGACAGCGTTAGGGTCCGATGACTGGCCAAAGCCGCTGGCGTTCTGGGCGAGGGATTCCATCTCAACGTTGGCGCCTAAACGTGCAGACAATGTCAGCAAAAGAGCACGTACGACCGTCGCGGTCAGGTCGTACCGTATTGGTCCCTACCCATAGCTGGTCCCTGGTTGTATCCTCTGTTTCCACCGCCGCCGTAGGGAGAAGGCCCCGAGCCAAAGGCCTGCTGAGGAGGACCTCTGGCAGGAGCTCCTCCATACCCTCCGCCGGGACCATCGTCCCGCTGGTCAAAGGGGTTTTGACGACCACCGTATCTATCCGAGTCTGTCAGTATGCCGCGTTCGGAGAGGTCGTACTCGTCGTCATGTGTCCCGTCGGCTCCATGGGAGAGAGAAACATACCCGTACTGCGCCATAATGTTAGTTTTTCAACGGATATCGATGGTAGGAAGGACTGTCGGTTGAATTAGGTAAGGAGAGGAGTGTGAAAGGAAAAAGGCATCAATCGCCAAAAGGAATTGCAGGCACAATAGACAAAATGCAACGCAACCAGGCTGAAGCAGATATGATGATGTGCAAAGAAGGTTGGAGATCGCAGAAGTCAAAGTTTGAGGCTTTGCGATGGAGGAACACGACATGGGAACGGGTAGACTCTCTCGACTTCGAGAAGGGGGCCAGCACCGACGTAATGCAACGTTGGTAGGGAAGGGCAGCGTGCAGCGTGAGGGTAGAACAAGGCGAGGACGGTCAGGCGAAACACCGGAAGTGCGAGGGTTGGGGTGAAACACTGACACTCATGTTGCTTCTGCGAAGCGCGAAGGCTTCTTCCTTGCGCGACGATGATGCGGATTTGGTAGACGCTCAGGGGCGAATGCAATTATTTTGTTGCTTTGTGGCTTGTGGGCTGATCGTCGCGCGTGGTGGTGGTAGGAAGGAAGATGAGTGGCCTCGGTTTGGTGTGTTGTTGATTTTGGCAGGAAAAGAAGCAAGTTGAGTACGGGTAGAAAGGGCGAAGAGAAGAAGGGGGGGATGGGATGAATTGGCGTTATGTGGTTCTCGAGTCCTAAGTGACGGTGTGGGCGAGACGGAGGACGGAACGCCTCTCACTCTCCAGGCTTGGACGACAGAAGTCTCAGGCTCGTTTTTTTGGGTCAATGGTCGACAGAGCAGCAGGGAGACCAGGGTGGCAGCAGGCCGGGGACGAGGGGGGAGGGTTGAAGCGAGACGAGGCGAATGGGGCACAATCCACAATTCCACAGGGCCTTGGACGCAGGAACGTGGGCGTTAAGCGTGTGGCTTGAAGCGCTTCTTTGTAGCAGAAATTCGAATTGTCTGTTCGGGAAGGGGGTGCGGTGCTTGGGGTGCCCCTGGCTGCGGAACGATCGCCGTTTAGGTGACTTTTTGGCTCCAGTAAGAGAGATGATTGGAGGGGCCCCGGCTTATTGGCCACAACTTCCCACGGGCTATGAGTGTGCGATGGTGCACAGTTGTTTTTTTTCCCCCCTAGGTTGATGGAATGGTAGTTCCTTTTCTTAGTCTTTCTTCCCTGGGTCGAGCGTGTGTCTGTGAGATTTTATGTTCCGTCAATGGCGTCGTAGTAAGGTGTTGCAAATGCACTCGGAGTTGGATGAGTAAGATACACGCTCTCTCAAAATAGTGAGTGAGCGATGTTGAGTGAGAGTGAGATTTGAGTGTGAGTGTATTGGTGGATGGGTGGGCTTGGCGAGGTACCTGCATGCGACGAGAAGGTCCCAATGAGGCAGGGGCCGACGATGCAACGCAAGGGAAAGGGGGGCGTCGTTGTCTGTCACTCACCCGCTGGCTGTTCGCTGTGGTGAGGTGAGGTGAGGTGAGGTGAGGAGAGAAAACTTGAAAAACGCTATGGCCGGCGGTCGGCGGCAGGTGATTGGTCGAGAAGCGTCGAGGACTGGACCTTGAAGCTGGCACTTTGCTCTTTTTGGGTGCCTGTAACTGTAACAAGCAGCCGGAGGCGAATAAACTTGAGGCGCTGGCGGGAGATGGCCCCAATGCCGGGTGCTAAAATTAATGCGACTCTCTTGTTCCCTCCACGATTGTGTGGTGCTGGACGGCTCTGCAGATGGATGCTTCGATGAAGTGTTCGCTGGCTGGTCGGTGCTGCTGACTGAAGCAATATCTCCTTGTCTCCTTCTTCACACAAGAATTCGCAGAGGTATTTTGGCTTTCGACCTGCAACTGGCACCCTTATGCTTCGGTGGTCGCTGAGTGTTCGCGCCGGTGTCAAAAGGCTAACCTTGAACGAGTGCAGCGCTGCCTCCTCAGATGATGCGGCGGAGCTCGTCCTGGTGGCTTGCGACAACCACGAGAAGCGATTACGATGGAATGTACGGATAGAAGGCGGTGGTCGACAGGGATGTTGACGACGGGAGTTGTGAGCCAATCGAAATGGTTTCCCCCCCAAAGTTGAAGTCCACAATGAGTTTATCTCCTCTTTCTCGGGTATTGGTGGTGGTAATGGTGGTGGTATTGGTGGTGGTGGTGGTGGTGGTGACAGTGGTTTCAACTGCACCCAAATCAAGTGTCTTTCGTTGGCTGGTAAAAAACGAAGCAGCCCAAGCAGATAGGAACAGCTGGTCAACTGCTGTCGCTGCCCTTCGTCTTTCGTAGCGCCAGGTTGCAAAGTTGCGAATGCGTCCCGAGACTGCCAATCAAGCGCTCGACGATCCAGATCTCTCCACCTTTTGTCTGGGACGAGGCACCTCGTGTTTCTCTGCTGCCGTCTTCCCGTTCGTCGGCGCCGCTTTCCTGCTTTCCTGCTTGTTTTCTCCAACACGGGATTTTCTTGTGGGTTGCAGTCGAACAACCTGCCAGAGCAACGATGTCGATCAAATTCTGCAGCAGCCGTTGTGAACCTATCGCTGAGATCACAGACAAAAATGTCTTGGGCAATTGAGTCTAATGGTGTTTAGGTACCTTGGTGCAATGCCTGGAGGTCGATGCGCCTCCGCAGGTATCGAAAACAAGCAACACCAAGCAATGGGATTGAAGAATGCGAGGAAGATGCGCAAGAGCAGGATCATGATCGCGACCGGCAAACAGGGAGCTCAGCTTCTTAAACCATCCAACTCATGCCCGTCAACTTTGGGAATTATCGATCCTTCTGGCCACTTCAGCACCCCGCTTCCTCGCCTTTCAGCTCACGGTCTCGGAAGCGAGAAACTAACACATGCAACTGCAAGCCTCATTCTCCCGTCTCCGTCTCCGTACACTACGGCTGAGCTTAGCCTCTCCTAGCGAGCGAGAGGAGAAGAACCAAACGGCTTCGGACTGCCTCGGGCTACCTTTCTTTTTGCTTGCGGATCTGCGGCGTCCAGTCGTGCCAGGAACACTCGCTCACTCAATCCTCCCACAGCCTGCCATCCCCACGCCCCAGCAAAACCTCATCTTCCTTTGCCCCGATCAGACTAGGTTCCATGCAAGCCGTAAGCTCATCATCAGCAGGCTGGCGGTCCATCTCACCTTTCCAGGACAAGTCGGACCAGCAGCGTCATCCCAAGAATCCACTTCCTCAAAGCCTTCCATTCCTTCGAGGACTCTCGAATGGAAAACCATTATTGACGAGCAGAAAAACGTAGTTGCCTAACAGATTGCTATGGAGATTTCCAGCAAGAACTAGATGCCAATGCCCATCCATCGCCTCAAGCAGAGAGTAGACATCCATGGAGGGAGAGGCGAGTAATAACAGGCATCACTCAGCTTGCCAAGGAAACCAGCTGTAGAAAAGTCCAAAAAAGCAGTCTAGTTTTACACTTTTCGGCAACCCATCAACACAGCCTTCGTCTGCCTCCTCCATAAGCCATCCCGCCGCCGGCTTATTTGTTGGACCAATCCACATCTACAGCGCCTTCAGCCCCAGGATGGTCATCCTTGGTCCTCCCTTGGTGACCAGCCTCCAAAGACTAGTCGAGATCTGACCCGCGGACTCTCCTCAGCGTCGTCAACGAGGGGCATCCCCCTCACCCGTCAAGGCCGTCACGGGCCGTTCTCAATATCCATCCACCTCAACGCTCCCGGCATACTTGGCTTCCCCGAGCATTGCCATAACGCGGCGCGGGGTCATGTCGAGAAATCTGGGCATCCTTCGGCTGCTTTCTCGAACGACAGCTTGGAAAACCCCCTCGTAACAACAAGCTTGTGCCCTTCGCATTCCTGCACCAGCATATCCCTGGTGTAGAGAGCGCCGTGCTGTTCGAGCCTGCTGCCAAAAACCCCGCCATGCGTTCCGCTTTGGGCGGAAGCTGACACGCAACACACCACCATCGTCGTCTCTGCATCCCTTAGCGCCGCACCGCCAGCCGGTTCCAGGAAGAAGGTAGGGCTGTGCTACCGAACGGCCCAGGATCGCCCGCATCTACATCATCCCGATTGGGGGTGACGAGACAAACGGTGGCCCTCCCTTCCGCTTCTTCGGTCGGTGCAATATTCATGCCCGCTCGTCAGCGACATCATACCTCGAGGATTTATGCATACAGTCCCCCCAAGCATTACTCATCCAGCATTAAAATCATCTGGTCACCTGCTCCTGGGCCCGTGTCTTTGACCTCTGGCACTTGAGACGGTGTCGTCAATGATATTCATGTCTAGAGCTACCCGAAGCTGAAGAAGCTTCTTTGCTTATACCTCTCATTCTCCTTTAGGAAGCGATGTGAAACTTGCGTCTAAGCCATCAAAACTCCCCTCGTCCGTCACGCCCTAACCCTCAGCCTTTGCCCGGCTGCTACTTTAGCATTTCAATACAGAACCTAACCATTCCCACCCCGTTCCCCAATCGCCCTTCGTTACTAACGCCATTTATCCTCATCATACTACTGCATAAGCCGAAGCATAGCTCACGCTAAAGTCGGATGGTCGACTTATCAATTCGCTGCGGTTGTATTGGATGAACGTGAACCGGTGGTCGCCCAGCTCCTCGAGCGCCGCCATTGTTACTCCGATCGGGTGTCTTCCGCAGACTGTGTTCTTGGTCTGCTTGATGCTGTCATAGAAGTTGCGGTGCTTTCCCGTCTTGATAGCCTCGATCGCCAGGTCATCCAGCATCTTGATCGTCTCGTGGATGGGCGGTCCGTTGGGTGTGCGGTCGTGCTCAGAGAGCCTCTGCTTGCTGTTGAGTGTCCCATCTGGGCAGTATGGCATGTAGTGGAAATGCTTGCCCCAGTGACAAAAGTCAGAGCTGACAATGAAGGCGTTCTCCGGGTCCTTGAAATACTCGGCGAGCCACTTGCCCACCTCCTTCTCCTCGGCCTCATTGTTTTCGCCAATTAGGATTGGTACGATGGGCGGGAAATTCTCGGGCGAGCCAAATGTTTGTTCCAGCCGGATCCAGAGATACGGCAAGTGCATCTCCAGCGAGTGTTCCTTGTTGTCGTTGCTTTCCGGGATCGCGGGGATTTCGAGCTCGTCGAGCAAGCGGGCTGTGACCTTCTCGTCCACCTTGAGGTCCCCCCATGGTGTGCCGTAGTTCTGATACTCGCTGACGGCGCAGCCTGCGAGGTAGAACGTATGAGAGGGTCCAAGGATGAATACACGTTTCGCTCTGCTGAGGTCGAGAGCCTTGTAGGCCCAGGCTGCCGTGGCACCCGAATAAGAGTAGCCGGCGTGGCTATCAGGATATGCTATTTTAGCAAATATGTACTTGCTTATTGCACGATCTTTTAAGGAGAAGACGAGCAGACGAAACTCACGGGGCGATGATGACTCGAGCGCCAGGAACCGGCAGGCCTTTGTCCTCAACCTGATCGGGTACGTCAGAGAGGAAGGCGTTGAGTTGCCCTCTCAGTTCCTTGGGTTCGCCGCTGTACCAGGAGCCTGCCTTGCCGGGAGGGCGGGTGTCTCCTGACTCCATAGCGCGATGTGATGTTTTGGTTGAGGCTGAGAGCTATGAGCGAGCGAACCTTCGTGATTTACATGCAACTGCAACGGATTGATGTTGACCGCTACTTCTTGGGCTGAGATTGTAATAAGGACTGAGAAGAGAGGTCAAGAGCTTGGGGTGATAAGGTGACGTGCCGCCTGCCCCGCACTCATGGTAGCTAAGGTACCTTGATACAAACCTCCCACCGGCTGCGGCAGTCAGCTCCATTTTGAGCGGCCGGCGAGGGGTATATTTCCCCCACCTTGCTGCATAAGCCGGTCCTCATCCTGAGCGCCCGTACCCGGGGCCGAATGAGCGGGGAGCAAATGACATCCTTCTTTTACTTCTGCCAACAGTAGCCCATCAGCAGCATTACACCCTCTATATTGGCGAAACTGCAACGCACAGGACTGTTGCCGAAGCTATCTCGATGCTGAGAGCTCACAACTCAACCCAGCTACGGGGTATGACTGGTTTCGGCCGATCAAAAAGCGTCCAAAACTTGGCGGCAAAGGCTTCGAACTCTGGCGCCCACCAAAGCCGCCAGTCTTGTATCTGCGACCCATAATCAAAACTGATCGCGCGGACGGGAATCCAGTCAGTATCACTCCTTGGATGCTGATCGTCCACCGATTGAGTGGGTTCCGCACATATCTTTGCGAGGCCGCAACAGCGTCGGCGCTAAATGCCCCTCTGAGGTCGGCGGCCGTGGCAGAATTGAGCGTTGGCATTTCGTCTCTACCGTACTGCAACAGATTGACGCCGGCATCTCGGAATATCCGCAGCCACTGCCTTAAGGTCCTGTGGAAGACCTTGTCCCACTCATCCCATGGGAGTTCGGTGAGATGCGGCAGAGGGCCCCAGCCTATGACAGAGTACAATGGCGTCCCCGCCCAGACTGGAAATCGGTACCAGTCCCAGGGAACGATGGCCTCTACTCTGTGCAGGTGCATTCGATCTGCGGCTGTGAGGGTCTCAGTGACTGTGTATCGTCTAAAAGTGCTCGACATTCTTCGAATCGCTCCGAATTCATGGCATGCTGCGACCCTTTATTAACTCTTCGAAGGGAGTTCAATGTGCAGGGGCTTCACCACTGACACATAACAAGGATGAGCCGTCTCCGTCCCTATCGAGTGGGGATGCGTCCCCTTTACTAAACATAGCCATCGTACTTCCCATATCACCCCCCTTCACGGCCACGAAGATGGCGCTGTCTTCCGACCTGATGCTGAATGATCGCAGACTCTGCTGCCACCCACTACTCATGCTCCAGCTGATTTGTATTTGCCACGCAGCTCGAGATATCCAAGCTGGGAACTGGACGGACAGACTCCACTCGTTGTATTCTCTCGAACAGACAGTAGCGAGCTGCCACCTCGGAAAATTCCCAGCTGTAATCTTTTACCCTACTTTATTAATTAAGGCAGTCGCGCGTGTGAGAATGAATGAAAATCCCCCTAGTCGTTACATACCTAATGATTTGTGTGAAAGCCGTTTGCCTATCGAATGCTCGATCAGAACCACGCACGGAGGGGATGAATTCTTTTTGCAGACGACGGAGACCTACGGGATCGAGGCCGAGACTGGCTTTGAGAAATGCGCACCATGTGGCTTGAGTCGTCGTCGGTTCAGTTTCAAGCTTGGAAAGCTTGGCTATACCCCGAGAGACTATGATCAAAGCAAATGATCGGAAGAGGGATTGCCCATGTATCCCTGCTGATGACGTTGGAATGTTGATGGTGAGGTTTTCTGCTTCCGGCAGCAGTAAATCCAAATATTCCAAGACCCTATCCAAGGAAAATTGATTGCCTTCAGAGACTCGTGCCCTGATATGACATAGCCTAGTTTCGAGTGGAACGGATTTGTATCGGTGACCGATACCATTGGGCAATACTCGAAGACCGCTTCTGAGTCCTGATATGCGGAATCAGATACCAAATACTCCAGTGTCTTTTAGAATATCATCCAGACTGTCTTTCGACATTTCGACAAGAATCGAAGACAAATTCTCAATCATCCTACGGGCCCCAGAAAATAACAAGATTTGAAGGGGTCATGGGTAACTATCGGTGGTCAGAAAAAAACAGCTTTTGTAGAAAAGAGAAGGAAAGCACCCTCCTCCATCAGCATTTCCAAGTACGAATCCCCCTAGACCGCATTCTTACAGCGTCTTAACCATACTCACAGAGCCGTGAGTAAACGCAAGCTGTCAAGCACGTCAATTGATACCTTAGTCTTATAAGACATAGCAGCAAACAAGGAGCCACCTCTGGTAATGTTGTCCCATGCTGATTTCGAACGAATGGGGACATCTTCCGATCTTTCAAGTGTTTGAGAACTGCAAAGATGTTATCTTGATAGATGTTCACTTCCAATTCAAAGTCAAAAGTTTGAATGACGTCGTAAGCTCTGAGGTTTGAGTTGCCATCCCCAAGCGCTTCTCTGTGCCAGGACGGAATAGACTGATCCCATAAGCCATGTGGGTGGCTGCGCGTGCAGCTGAAAACAAACGTCTGATATCAAAGATAGACGCAGTCTTACGATCCTGGTTGTTTAATGAGAGAACCATGACATGATTGACGCTGTGGTAACGAAAGATCTGCGAGCACTTGTTCTGTAGTCACCAGCAGTGTCCTGAGCTTCGGCCTGACTGGCAGCTTTTGCATGGAACATCTGAATTTATTCTATGTCGGCCGTCTATTTTAGTTGTACTAATACTACGTATGGCATGAGTGATCCGATGAAATGGTCATTAGCTGTGCATCGAAAAGATTGTCAGGTGAAATTGCATACGTCAGATATTGCTCCCGTGCAAGCTTGAAAACTTCTAAAGCTGAGTTGAGCTTAGACTCTAGAGCGCACAAATCCTCCTTGCAGAGAACAACCTTTATCTACGCCAGCTTTCTCTTATACCTCCGTGGATCTGTGACCTGAGTATGCAGTCGGTCGACTGTTTCTTGCAGGCCTTTCAACACAGTCCGGGTTCTGGCGATGTATTTCTGTAAGAAAGCATTGTTAGACTTGCTGCGGAAGTGGGATTTTGGCAGCTTCGCTCTCGGTATCCAGAAGAAAATCTTCAAAGTCCTGGGGACTTTCGTCTTCCTTGAGCAGCGCATCAGAAATATTTGGGATCTCTTTCCATAGATTGATGAGCTTGATCGAGGCTCCGGCGACCTTTGCGGTCACGTCAACAACGGCGATGACGCTTGCCGCCAGGCTAAGAGCTCCGGGCATAGCGATTCACATTATTTTGTTTCGTAAATTCGTTGAATGCGCGGAATTGCAGTGAGGATGAAAGCTCGGTTGTGAGAGAGAAGAGAGAGAAAGGTTGGTAAAGTTTGGCTGGGGTGAGAAGACAACGGCAAGGAATGAGGGGAAGTCTGAGGGATCATGGTCTTCGAGTGTATGAGGCTGCGCCGTAACCAAAGATTGAGGACCGTCTGCTACGTAACCGGTTGGCCTGCAAACTATAGAAGCCGGTGCGCCCGTTGCCTACCTGCATGATGGCTGAAGCTGAGTGGTGGTGGCTGAGAGTTTGCGTCAACTATGACTTGTCATAGGACCCAGAATTAAGGAAATTGACGCTTTGGAAACAAGAAAGCTCGATATCATCCACTTCTTTTCAATCGCTCTGTTAAAGTTATTCGTCAAGTATCGAGACAGAATCTTTACTAGTGAGGCTGAGAAGGTAGACAAGAGAAGACGAGCAATCTGAGACTCAAGTTTGCAGTCAGAAATCTGTTTTATGGAAATAATTGTAGTTGGGTGCAGGAGCGTCGTTTTGACAAAAGCGTCTACGTTCGGTACAATACCTGAGAGGAAGGGCGGGTTGTCAGCGAGCCTGGTTCGCTATCTGTTCACCTTGCTAAATCAACGGATAAAATCGTGCCTGCATGGAGTGTTTTCATGTGCTGTCGCTAAGAAGACACGTTATCTATTGATTCATCGTAGGATGATGTCGCATTTCCATCCGGACCTACTAGCGGTGGAGTGCCGACTGATCCGAACATGCCCGGACCCGGGTGCTCCACAGCGGCATGGGTGGAGATACTCCGCACATCGCAGGATGCCGCCGGCGTGAGTCACCCCGCAGCCGAGTCCTCAACGTCACCTTGCCGCGGTGGGCTTATTGCTTCAAGTACCGTAGCATAGGGTACTTTAACTCCAGGTGCCAAGCCTGCATGTCGATCTAGTTTTGTCAAATAACCTCAGTCACTCAATTCGGTAGGGAATACTTCCTATTTCAGCCATGGACAACCTAGTCGAACATCCGAACCATTTCGACAACCCAGCCGGCGCTCAACCAGCACCAACGCGCTCGACTATCATCGCAAAAACATACCACTCCATAATCGAATCTTCAACATGGAACGGCTCACCAGCAGCAATCAAGAAATTCAACTTTCCCGCCAATCCCAGAGCCTCTCAACGCTGGCGCAAGGAAATCGAGGCTCTCAACCTCGCCAGAGGTCACGTACGTACCATGCCTTTATCAAAAACAAACTCTCACATACCTTTACCTACATTGACACGGAAAAACGTAGCCAAACATCACCCAAATTCTCCACTCAGACTCCCAAACCCTCACAATAACCCTCCGTCAAGAACCAGGCCGCAGCCTAGACAAGCACATCAACACCACAACCTCATTCTCAACCCTCTCCGCCCAAGAAGCCGCCGCAGTCTGGTCCCAAATATCGTCCGCCCTAGCCCACCTGCACGCCAAATGCAACATCATCCACGACGACGTCAAACCAGACAACATCGTCTTCTTCTCCACCGCCGCCGCCGCCGCCGCCGCGGCGACCACGCTTCCTCCTCATACTGAGCCAGCACCACACGCCGTCCTAATCGACTTTGGCGCCGCAATCACCTCCCCCTACGCCCTGCCCCTCAACGGCTGGACACCCTCCGGCACACCCCCCTACGCCCCACCCGAGTTCGTTGATCGCTGCAAGTCCTACGCCGGCGACGTCTGGGGCCTCGGCATCACGCTGCTCTTCTGCTTCGGGTATATCCCGCTCCCCGCGGGCGACTGGATCCTCCCCCACGTGTTTGAGGACGAAAGGGTCAAGGGGGAGATGGTGGCGTGGCTGGATGGAATCGAGGAGCTGCGGACGTCGCCGCGTATTAGCGGTGATAGTGACAGGCGTCTGCTCGGTTGGATGTTGGATCCGGACCCCGAGGCGAGGATTGGTAGCGTTGAACTCGCGAGGCTTTTGAATTCATAATCAAGGTATAGGAAGATATGAGCAGTTTAGAAATTGTCCAAGGGATGGTTGACAGTTAATCAGTAAAATCGTCTCGAAGCTGCGATGGGGGAAGGGGGCGCACCAAGACAATATCCGTATCCAACATCATCCAAAAGAACACCAAGATGGAATGTTTCGCAATCTTACAACAGGCAAAGTAAGTTGTAAATCGCTCTTCACTTCACAGCATGCACAACTCAATCCATACACCCTTCCGACTCGGCCCCCCGGAACCTCCATCCCAAAAAAAACAAACCTTTTCCAAACCCTTTCCCCCCTTGCTAAATCATCGACTCAAAAGCACACTATTCCTAGACACTAGAAACAGCACAACCTTGCCAGACAGCCCCGACTATCCCCCTGAGCCCAAAACTCTCTTAAACAACATTCCCCCCCGAGTGTTGATGGGCATCCCATATTAATACTAGCGCCCGGATCAGACTTCGAGTCTTCCCCCAACTCCGACCTCCAAATTCGTCATCCCATCCACGCCACACTCGGACAACTTTCACGAACAAGTCTGGATCCGATCTACAAACTCTCTATCGTTTTCGCTTCGCTTTCCTCGCAACTACACTCTGCGAGTAAACAAACATCTGAGACCTCCACCCCGCGGTAATACACGGATCAAGAGCACCCAGATCACATCACACTCATCATACGAAGAAGACACGAGGGTGAGAGAGGGAGAGAGAGAGAGAGAGACAGATAGAGGAGCGGTTGAATGGTACCACATTCGATTTGCGTCATTATTGACTTTAAGAGTAGAAAACACACCTGGGCTCGTAAGCAACAGGCAGCAGAATCTCATCACTGCAATCGGACCTCCCCCGGCGCCTAAGATAGTGGCCGCGGGAAACCCTCGTCCCTCATTCTAGCGGTTCCGAAAATATCTGACCCCCAAGCTCATCTTACCTCCTCCTTGGTGAATGACTCGCCCAAATGCCGCATTTTTGTTTTCAGGTTCCAATTTACTTGTGAAAATCCAACCCCCTATGCGCCGATCGAAATGCCAAGATGCAACGTGACCTGCTGCGTCCCAATCTCCTTTCCTGTTCTCTGTTGCCGCCATATGTACACGCTGTTGCTTTGTAAGCATAAATACAGAACCGGCGCCATGCACCTCGCTGTGGTAATAAATGTCCCCAATAAGCATTAAAAACGTGGGATGCTGTTGAAACTCCTTAATGTCTATGACCTCCGCCTGTGTTCCTCCTTGTCCCACTTTTCCACGTTTTCCTCAGTCAAGGAGTCGCCAGCCACCACTGTCTGGAAAGACTCTCCACGTCGAGGAAGCTTCTTCCCACCTGCGGCTTCCATGAGCTTGCCTTGCTGTGCCTGCAATGCAAGCTCGTCAGTCTCCGAGCGTCTGATTGGCTTGATGGAATCTGCCACGTTCGGAGAGTCGAATGGTGACGGTTCGTAGGAGTTGTTCCTGGTCAGAGGCCGTGGTGTCACTGGATCTCCCCGACTTTCAAGATCTGCTTCCTGGCTCATCTCTCGTTCCCGGCTCGATGGCGCCACGGCTTCTTCTGAATCAGGGGGTGATAGATCTGTGTGATCATGCGCAACGCCGGGGATATCTGCATTGCTACAATGCGCAGCGGTATCTGAACAATCGGACATGGACCCATCCGACTCCCTGTATGTTGTTTGCTGAGACCTTTTCATCAGGCTCCATCGAACCAGCATCCTTTCCAACGTCTTGCTCTTGACTGGCTTGGCGAGATAATCGTCCATTCCCGCTCGAGTGCATTTCTCCTTGTCGCCCTGAATAGCCGATGCTGTCATCGCCACAATTGGCACGTCTTGGACGTAGGCCTTGAACGGCAGATGGTGACGGAGAAGATGTGTGCACTTGTAGCCGTCGATGACAGGCATTTGTACGTCCATCAGTATGATATCCGGCTTGCTGTGCTTGCCTTGTTGGGCTGCCGCCATGTATTCGAGAGCGTCTTTCCCGTTCCATGCCGCTGTTACCGTAAACCCAAGCTTCATAATTGTCTTGGTTGCGATTTGCTGGTTGATGGCACTGAAAATTGTTAGCTTAAACTACAGCATAGACCTCAGAGAATGTGAGCTTACTTGTCCTCGACAACTAGCACGCGGATTTTGGCACGATCCGCGTGCGGCAATAACTCCTCGTCCGAGGCCGGTGGTGTCCGCACTGAGAGCCGCCGCGACGGAGACTTTTGTTTGTCTGATAGGAATTGCGAGGACTCGCCTGAGGCGGGAGGCGTATTGAGTAGCTGTTCAAACTCGGAGCTGTGGCATGAGACGCTCATCTCTGACTGTAACCTGTCTGGAAGAGAACCAATCTCGACGAGCGGTGCTCTTTGATTTTGTGGTTTGCTGAAGGGAACCCAAAATGTTGCAACGGTTCCGTTACCGAGAGCAGATTCTAGCGTCATTTCTCCATGCATCAGTTCGAGAAGATTTTTGCAAATCGTCAGGCCCAGGCCCGTACCACCAAACTTTCTCGCTGTCGAGGCATCTCCTTGGCTGAAGGGCTGGAAAAGCTTTTTCCGCACCTCCTCCTCGATTCCGATGCCGCTGTCTTCGACGATGAACTTGACGACGATACTATCCGATGTTTCCTTCTCCTTCTGCACTGAAAACTTGACATAACCTTGGTTGGTGAATTTGATACTGTTGGTCAACAAGTTCGTAATGATCTGGCGTACACGGCCGGGGTCTCCGATGACGACCAGATCTCTCTCGATTTCTTTCGATATATCGGATCGGAAATCGAGGTTCTTTCGCTCCGCGGCGAAACTCAACATTTTCTTGACATCCGTCACAATGACTGAGAGTGAGAATTGGACCTCTTCAATATCGAGTCGTCCGGACTCGACTTTAGAGAAATCAAGAATATCGTTGATGACTGTCAAGAGAGCGTTCGCCGACCTCTGAATATTTTCCACGTACTCGGTCTGTTCGGCGTCAAGCTCCATATCCCTCAACAACTCGGCCATTCCAATGACGCCAGTAATGGGTGTCCGAATTTCGTGAGACATCTGTCAACATGTTAGTTATTGACTTCCCGCCGAACAGCCATATTTCACTTACGTTAGCGAGGAATTGGCTTTTGAGCCTGTTTGCCTCTTTGGCGGCCGCCTCGTTCGCCATCGCTTGCTTCTTCTCCCGAGATTCCTCCTCCAGGTCCTCTGCCTTTTCCTTTAGCTCGCTCACGTCCATGATGACACCAATGACACCTTCGATGCGTGTCTCGTTGCTCACAATGGCCTCTTTTGTCTTCTTGCCAAGAATGGGCAGGAATCTCGTCCGGTACCAATGTCCGTCCATTCCGTGCTCTGCCACCTCTTCCGTCTTTCCGCCGGCCAGTATGTCTTCAACGGGGCGGAGGAATTTGGGGCGTTCGCCAGTCTTGAGCTGAGGGTTAAGCCGATTGAAGACCTCGTACATGTTTTGGCCGAGGAACCAAGTCTCTTGGTTTGCGGCACTATCATCCCCACTACTGTCCCACATCAGTGCACCTTCCAGCATGGTGAGGTTCAGATTGGTGTCGACGGTGAAGATGGTGACTTGCGAGTGCGTGAGAACGCTTAATAGCTGCTGTCGTGTACTCCTGGCAGCGAGTTTGGCCTCGATGCCTTCGTTGACGTCGGTGCAAGTTCCGAACCACTTCTCGATCTCGCCAGTCTCCTTGTTCCTCAGCGGGAGAGCTCTTCCCAACATCCATCTCCATTCGCCGGTTCTGCTGCGGCACCGGTACTCTGTTACGTAAGGGTCACCAGTTTCTAGAGAGTGCTTCCAGCGTCGAGCACTTTCCGGTATATCTTCCGGATGAAATGGATGTTTCCATCCCAAGCCCATTGATTCCTCGGGAGTGAGCCCTGTGTATGAATACCATCGAGTGTTGAAAAAGTCATGGTAACCATCTGGCTTAGTCGTCCAGACCAGCTGAGGCATGGTGTCGCATATGAGCTTGAAGCGCTCCTCATCCCTCTCCCTGATCTCGACAATCTCCTCCTTCATTTTGGTAATGTCTCTGAATGTCACGACGCCGGCCATGAATTCACCGGTGCTGTCATCTCTGATGGCCTCCCCCAGTACATCGTAGACAATTTTGCTTCCCGAATTTTCTATCATGCCAACCCGCATGTTGTTGAAGGGTGTCTCCGTTCTCAGTAAGACCGAAATGGGATACTCGCTCACGTCTAGCTCCCTTTCAAAGTCCTGATCCCAAACTGTCCAACCCGGGAGCAAATCAAATCCGTCGGATGATTTCTCCAAGTCGCTTTCTTGCCGGAGCAGTTTTCGAGCGGCGCGGTTTGGGAACGTCACGCTTCCGTCCTTCCACATCGCAAGGATGGGCATTTCCGTATTGTCGAGTAATGCGTCTTTCATGAGAATCATTTTCTGCAGAATCGAGGGCGAGCTGGCATGTACGGCTGTCGAGGGTGGACCCATCGGGGGGAATGGACTCGACGAAAGTGATACGGCGCTTGGGCTTACACGGAAAGATGGCGAGCTCGAGTCATGACTGGAACTGACTGAGGGCGGATTCGAGTTTGATATCGTCTTGCGGTCTGCTTGTTCCAACATATTGGGCCGCGCGAACGCCTTGCGGCTCGGGACCGGTTGAGAAGGCTGGGAAGTTGAGCTGGTGAAGGTCAGGGTGAAATAAACTTGGTGATCTTCAATCTCCCATATCGTAACAATCATCTTGGCGTAGACCTGATGGTCCGACGCCCAGCCCTTGGCCCGTGGGTCAAATCCCGGCTTCCCCAGCTCTTTGCGGGAGATAATGACGTCCACCACGGCATCTTTTACAAAGCATGGGCCGGTTGGATGATCCGGTAATGGAGGAGCGAGAGAGTCCGGTGTTGGTGTCGCCTCTCCACCTTGCCCTCGACCGAACATATCTGCAGCATCCTTTGACGTCTGGTTTGCGCCCATTTCGAGAACGAGGGAATCCAAGAACGCCTCCCATCCAACCCACACTGGGCGACCATCCTGAATCATATCAATGCCAACCTGAGACAAGGACTGCCCTCTCAGTCTTTCGGCAACGTATGAGTTATCTTCGACCACGTCGTTTGTCATGCCAAGCATCCTCCCCATGGCTTCGTTGGCAAGAACCACAGTCTTGAGATTATTCAGTACCAGTATTGGAACTGGTAAGTATTGCATAGCGGAGAAAGCGAGCTGGCCGGGGGTGATAAATGGCATCGAGATGCGGAAGGGGCTAGCTGAGTGCGACCGCTTGCCATCACCGGTTCCCATCTTGAAGTTCTCGCGAATGAAACGGCCGCTGCTGGTAGTACTCTGAGCGCCATCACTATGGGGAGGGCCGAAATCATCTGGTCGTGATGCTGTGTCAAAGTTGAATCCGCTCTCTCCGGTAGAAGGCCGGGATCCCGGGGAACTGTTCTTCTGGGATGGTACAGCAGTCTGGATAGGGGAAACTATTGGACGGCTGCCTCGGGCACTGCTGGTGACGACAGGTTCGGGAGGTGGCATTTCGGCAGTGGCCCACGCATGGGAAGCTGCGGCTCGCAGGTGAACCTCTGTGTAGGAGCGTGTATTGATTAATTTACGGAGCAGAGGTTCGGCCGCGGGAGGTGTAAGGTTGCAACCTCGTCAGGTGCCTAAGACCCTGAGTAATTAGAAAGAAGTTTGTCGGTGAGCAGGCAGTGACAGGGACGTACAGAGGCGGCGGCAGAATGCTAGAGGATCGTGGGGGAGTAGAAGGCAGAGCAGAGCATGGCGCGGCGCCTTGTCTGCGTGGAGGGCGTGCGTTCTGGACCGCCGGAGTATAGGCCCGTCTCCGGATGGACGCTTCGTTGGGAATGTGCTCTAATTGTGAGCAGTCGAGGCGCAGTTCGGCACTGGGATGAAGAAAAGCTCAAGCGCCCTCTTCTTGTCCGTTAGCTCACAAGTCTCCCGATTTCGTGCGGGAAAGCAGCAGCAGTGGCAGTGGCAATGGCACAAGGGGCAACGGCGGCTGGGGCTGGCCGGGCTGACCAAGGCGCAGACAGGGCCAGGTAGCTGGTGGGCACCGGGCAAGGCGAAGTGAAGGAATCGCTGGCGTAGAGATTCCCGAGCGGGTTGGATTCGACTGCAAACGGCGGCTTTGAGGAAGAGGCGGCAGAGATGAGAGTCGGAGGGGGGGAGAGGCGCAAGTGCGACGACAAGCAATAGCGGCAGAGGCTTACTAAGATGGGTATGAGATAGAGCGTGTGCGTAAATGCGCGCGAGTGTGTGTGTGTGTGTCTCGTGTAGTCTCGGATGGATAGACGAGCAGACGGGGGAATGAAGTGGTCGGATGGCGGCTTTGGTTCCGGAAGTGGTGTGGAGAGGTCTAGAACATAGCGCAGAAGTAGGTAAGAAAGGGAAGAAAGCTGCTTGGAACGCCACAGAAAGTTGGGGATGAGAATGAAGATGGAGATGAAAGTGTAAGTACAAATGCAGAAAAAGCAGGTGCGAGATGCCGGGTTAAAGTTGACGAGGACAATTGCCGCTCGTCAGCTACAGACGCCAACGTGCAGTAGTTTGCAGGAGTCGTGTGCGCCCTGGGTCTTGGCTACAACGGAGGCAGAGAGAAAGAGCAGAGTGAGCACTGGGATATGGATGACGGAGGAGGGGTTTACGAATAGAGGAGAAGCAAAAGAAGGGGATCATGCTCACAATAGTCCGTTTGGACAGAGAAAAGATGTAGAGAGAAGCCAAAGTGCTAGCTACGCAGAGCTGATCAGCCTGTCGGTAGGATGGAAGATGGAAATTGAATAGACAGGACCGAGCTGACTGTGCACGACGGTCAGGATTGGATGGGCAAGCAAGCGACAGACAGGCAGGCGAGGAAGGACAAGGGATAGGGCGGTCATGGTCCAAACTTAGTTTGAGTGAATGTGGTTCCCTACCCTACCTAGTGGTGTTATCGGTGATCAAGCATCAAGACGCCGGAGGAGTAGGTAGTCGAACCCATGCAACGTCTGGGGGGGGGGGGGGGGGGGGGGGGGGTCGGGGGGGGGGGACATGTGCCGGTGGGTGGTGCGGTAGTGGGGTAGGAGGGGGGGAGGGGTGGGGTGTGGGGGGCGGGTGGGGGGGGGGGGGGGGGGGGAGGGGGGGCGGGGGGGGGCACTTGTAAGGTAGCTTGGTAAAGTTGGGGGGAAGCATGGACACGGAGCTGAGCTGGGGAACAAGCGAGATGTGACTACGAACGGGAACTGGGGGAATTCCCATGAGATGGTGGCATTGGGCGGGAGAATTGGCCCAGAACCGGACTGGACTGAGGTGGGTTGAGCTCGTGGGTTTATTCATGAACCGACTGACAAGGACGGACAGAGAGAGGGTGAAAAGTGAAGGAGGGCCAAACGAAGAGGCAAATCAGCTGGGCAGTGATTTTGCTGGATGCGAATCCCACCTCGATTCCCGCCCTCTTCCTCGGTCTCTCGTCTTCCACTGTAACGTACTCTGTGTGGGTGTGTGGGTGTCAGGGTCTCGAGTTTTGAGCCGGTGAGCGGGGGAGGCGATTATTAGCACACCAGAGCAACTCTCATTCCTCGTTGGATTGATTCCATGCGCTTGACTGCAGTGTCCGTCGCTGGCGTTCCATAGAGCAAGCGAAGGAGAGAGCGCGCGCGGGAGAGGGAGAGAGCGATCGTCATACTGCGACAACCCTAGGCGGCGGTGGCCAGAGGACCCACGGGATTGGATGCGAGAATCGGGGGCAAGGGACAGAACTTGAACGGTACGGGTACTTGTACCTTTCTTTGCTGCGTGTCATGTCAGGGCCGCAAGTACCCCACCGCACACCCTAATGTGCCGGGTACTCTTGTATCCGAGGCTGCCAGGTATTAGGGGACTTGCAGGCCGGGTTTTCAGTTGGCCATTGAGGTGGATGGGAAAGTGGATGGGGGATGCACAAGTTCAATCAGGAAGGCATCGAAATGTGATACTGAGATGAGGTACGTATTCCTAGAGTGCCTTACTTAAGCCCTCTTCCCAAGTAGGTAAAGTAGGTACCTAACCACCACCGCCACCTACGGATATAAATTTGAGGCCCAGCATCTCAACAGGGCCAGAGTTGACATTATGTAGTCTACTCTACAGTGGAGTTTCCGCGCTATATGGCCAAGCACTACTAATGACGCCCTGCTCACTGTCCTCCAGTGTGCCGCTGCAACTGTCCGCCAGTAAGGCACCTGTCCAGGTCTACCCACAGCTGGCCCGGGTCTACGAAGAGAGGCCCTAGCGATGCTCCCTTCTGCCCAGCCCATCGAAATTCGTCATGCCTGTCGTTCTGCCTTCTTTCCCACTTATTTATCATCCAAATCGCCCGGTATTTCCAACATTCAGCGTCTCTCCGTGAGGGATTCCCCTGGACAAGATGCAGCTCGAGACACCAGGCACGACCGGCGCCGGCGCCGGCTTGTTTCCATGTTTCAACTCTGCCCGTCCGCCCCTAGGCCCTTTCCGCGTGGGATCTTCCCGTCGTCTTTGCGAGCCAATCCATGCTACTCGTCGTCCGTCCATCACGTACCTCATCCGAGAAGCCACAGTTTGTCCCGTCTGTTCTCTTCCTTTTTTTCGCCAATGTTGCTTTTTGTGTGACAACTGAACATATTCACCTTTTGCACTAAACGGCCTCACATCTCCTGTATCTCTTCCTTCCAGGCCCATGGCATCACCTCCCGCGTGGTTGCCGGCTTACGCCCACAGGCATCCACATTGTCATTCAAGCCTAGACGATGGATTGAGGCTCCCGAGAGGCTTGTATCATTGTTGTGCTGTCCAGCTGGTCCCCTACCATGCAGAGAGAGAGGTCAATATCGGGTTGTTATGGATATTGTAATCCACTGCCTTTTCGCTGCCGTGCTGCCCAAACTGAGGCCTATGACGGCTGAGATTGAACCATGCGCCAGTCCAACACATTTGCCTTGGTGCTACGTGAGCTGTTAAACCCCACGACGATGACGGCAGAAGAGTATCCCTCAAAAGACGAGGCGAACCTGAAATACGGGACAGTATGGGGCGTCTCCGGATGGGACAACTCGATAAAGCTAGCAAGAATGGGATCTTGCCCCAAACAAAGTAAAGATAGGCGCTTTATGCCGCTGCAGAGAGGGACCCCGACCCTAAGAGAGGCACAGCACACACCACACCACTGTCTTCCTCGTCGACGTTCGGGGCATTATTTTTCCTTTCTGTGAGCGACATTCTCATTCTGCTGATCCCTTCTTTGTCTTGTTGCGATCCGCGTGTCTGGCCGAGTCCGTCAGGTGTGCCACTTCGGCATCCTCTTGATTGCCAAACAGAATGTTGCAGTTGTTTCTGTCAGTTTCAAGCTGATTTCTAGAAGCAAACCCCGGCCAACCCGATCCCAGCCGCCTCCAATCGATCCGGCCTTCATTCATATACGCATAAACCATGACCGGGCGGTGACAGTGGCAGGCATCGACGGCCGATGGAAAATGTCTAGCACGAGCTAGATCAAGGAGAGTAACGTCCGTGTATCCGTAGACCCTGGGGAAATACAGCTTTGTAGCGAGCTTGCAATTAAGCGTGGTCTTGGCTGCCACCATCGTCAAGGGCTGCTCTCTCTTCATCAATAGACTGGCAATAGATCGATTTTCGAATCTGCGGTGCCGTTGGATTCCGATGCTTTGCTCTTGTCTGCCGCAGCAGCATGAGGCCATAATGACAGAGGAGGGGATGACCGCAGCTATGCCCGTCGCGTGTCCGGGCGATCCCGTTGGTTTGGTTTGATGTGTGTGACGTTCGCCTGTCCTCGTCCATACATCGACCTGCACACTGACAAACTGTCCTGCCATGCTGCTTAGGGTGCTCTTCAATTGATTGCATATATCGGGGTTGTGGCTACTCCGCTTGGTCCCCGCGTGAATGCAGCACAGATCTTCGTTCGGTGAGTCTTTTTCCAGCGTTGGCCCATCCACTCACAAGCTCTGGATACTTGGTGGTGATGCCTACTACGCTGAATTCGGATAAACGCAAAGACTTGGGCTTTGACCATCTCCGACTGGCGTCGTCGGTGACAAATTTGCCCTGCGTCCAGACCTCACGGCCGCTCCATCGATCGTAGATCTCCTACTCGAACGGGTCTAGTCCGCAAGCACTCAAGACGCCTGGACCGGGATGGCTACAGACCCGACCAGGGCCCTGGTCGTCTTCTCCATATCGGTGCGCCTTCAGTGCCACCAGACCTGCGTGATACAACGCAGATCATCTGACCCTGGCCATGCTGGCAAGGACCAATCAGCCTGGTGCAGCACCACCCTTGTTTTGACAGACCTTTGCTGCCCGAGCGTGTCTGCCCTGCGGCCCCAGCCCATTGTTGACGTCATCTTGGTATTAGCAGCTTTGATTGGTCGTCGGTGTTGCCCCCGAACTGTCAGAACGCAACCAGAAGCCATCGAAACTCGTAGACAAAAGTAGCTCGGTTGTGCCACTGAAAGATTCCATGCCATGGCGCATCTTTGTCCTTACATGCGCTGTGTGCATGCCACTCGTGTGCCGGCCATACAATGACTCGACTTCTCCCTCATTTACTTTGCTTGTCAGCGTAGTACTCGCATTAGATCACAATTGGTTGCGTCTCGTTTTCGACGTCGCCAAGAATTATGTCATTCCGTCTCGATTCCGAAACGCAGCCTTGCATCTGTCGCTTATAGCAATAGACGACATGATGCAGTGCAGGCATTGCAAAATCCCTTCGCTTGCAAGGATATCATCGGCCATTTCGTCATCTGGACCCTGAGAATCCAGAGAAGGACCCTTCACGTGCCCTCTGCAGTCCCCTTACCACCGAACTTGGTCCATGGTTTTTACCTCATCCCCGCTTTATCAGAGGGAATTGTCTTTCATCACTCCACATGTCGAACACGTCCACCACTGCCTTTCCATCATCGTCCCACAAAATGAACACTGCCAAGTTAGCGGTATTGCCGGCTCGTGTTGTTGACTGCTACTGCCAGTCTTCCCAGTGCTGTTGGTCTTAGGCGGACTACCTGTGAGATCGATTGTAGCTGGTCTTGGTTTGTTCTTCGCCGTTGCAGCCACTGATGCTCGTTGGCGTTGGCGTTCGCGTTCGCGCTTTTCAGCATTGGGTGTCCACACTTCACGTTGAGGATCTTGACCTCGTTCTGTGCCGCACGCATCGCAGCACAAAAAGCTCGCAGGATTATGAAGGGTACAGACTCCGCATGTCCAGCCCCGTTGCGGAGCCGACTGCGGCACGGGAGCAGATACAACTGGTGGCCGAATCTCTGGCCCTGGTACCGATGGGGGCCTCGTTTCCAGTCCTGGGATCGGCGGAGGGATATCATTACTTCCATTCCCGTGATCCCCCACATCTCCCATGACCGATCCTCCCCCGTTGCCAGTAGGGTTTTGCGCGGTTGGTGGGATAAAATAACCACCATACCGCTGGCGCTCTTCTTCTTGCACCAATTCCCAGAGAGCCTGGGCAATCGCAGCTTCGTTAGCCGCATCTTCTTCGGCCTGCGTACGGAATCCGTTCTTTGTAGCTGTCTCGGAGATTTGTTGAATCTCCCTGTCATTGTGATTCGTATTACCGCATCCTTGCAGCGTATTGTTTCTGCGCTCGATTGCGCCCACTATAGTTCGCCGAATATCTGAACCCACACTGGGACCAGAGCCACCAAGACGCTGGCCCGACCCCTTGGTCAGAGTACGGCGTTTCTCAGCAGATGCCCGCGCAAGCCGTCGGGCTTCATGCATCGGTATCCGGCCGCCCCCCAAGCGATGCCCGTCGGAAAGAAATCCTTCACCCGTATATCCTTTGCGAATGAGTGACTCGTGTTCGTCTCGAAGCTGGTTCCACAGCGCGTGGAAATTGCCATCGTGGGGTCCAAATACGATGTGAGAAAGCTCGTGAAGCATTGTATCGACTACATGCTCTAGAGGTAGGAAAAGTGATCGGTCGTTGGGATAACGTAGGCGGACGAGAATTCTCTGGCCTCTGTTGACATTAAGACCTAGGTAGGCTACGGTTATTGTATAGCTTGAAATCTCAGATGGTTGACTTACCAAGGAGGTTTGCTTGGTCGGGGTAGAACTCGGCTAGTTCTCGTACCTTCCAACCCCGAACTCGCAAGATAGGCTTGACCAAGGAGGCCACCTTTTTCAGCATCTGGAGGGCATCGGGGGCGCGCGGAAAATCCGCCAAGTGAGAGAATGAGAGAATGAGAGCATCGTGTTCTGGCATTTCGGCGTTGCGTGTCGTTGCGTGGTCGTAAATGTGAGGAAATAAAGTTGGAAAGATGCCAAATCGTCGTCGCAAGGAGGGAAATGAGGGGAAACAGCAGGAAGTCAAGGAGTGACGGGGTATCGAAGAGAATGACGGGGGAAAAGAGACTCATCAATAGAGTTCCCTAGAATAACATGGAAAAGAAGTCATTCGCATCGTAAGCAGAGGCTGACACGTACGAAGACGCGTAAGAAGACCTGGTGCCTTTCGGTGATAGAGGGGCGGCGTTTGTCGGGCGGTGAGTCTTGGACTGTCACTGACTGTTAGCAAATTGCGGTATTCCAAGCAGGGTGGCGGGGTATGCGGTGGTGACTAAGCCAACACCCAGGCCATGGAAGACCTTTGGAGTTGATTCACCTCCCAAGCCACCATTCACCTTACCCATGAACGCACCTGTCTCCCCTCCCTTCTTCGAACTTTGAATCATCAAAATTCCGATGAACTGGCATTGGCTAGTCAACCGAGAGCTTGATGCTGGATGGCCAATACCTGGCAAGATGAGTCTGTCCCAGCAGGATCTCGGACGGAAAATCAAGGCAACGACGCCTCGAAGAGATTAGCTTGCAGTGATCGACCTCGCCAAGCGACGGCACTATCCCTGGCTTGTTGCTCTTACCAAATTTGACGACGTCTCTTGGACACGCCTTGTCGATGGGCTGGGTAGGCAGGTATCTCTAGCTGGATCTCGGGCGAATCATCCATCAGATAATGGTTGCTCCGACGCATCTCAACTTCCACTGCCTGAGCAAGGCTGCAGCTACCGGCTCTCGGGAACCATCTGTTTCACTCCATGATGGCAGATATATTGACAACCGTCATACATGTTCGGGATGACGGCCGAAAACTCAAGCGATGATTTCCGAGTCACACGAGCTGTCAACTCGAGAATGGAAAGCGGTTTCAGTTTTGCATGAATCTCGTCGCACCTGGGCCACACACCCTCACAGAATCCCTTATTCTCCATATCTTCGTATTTGACTTTGTACCATCAAGCTGTATCGAAATGTGTCTATCCCACCCTTTTCATCGCATGTCTCTGCACAACTTCAGATGATTGATCTTTATTTCTCCTTTACATGTCAATGGATATCCTCACTTTGCTTCACAATTCGAGTATTGGACTTGCTGGACGTATCTGGATCTACTGAACAGGGGCTCGGCATACCAAGAAGTGGTCCCGGAAGTTCGGCATCGCGACCTGGTTGACCATGCGGACAGGGGTCGCATGCCCGACCGACAGTGTTTCGGAAGCCAAGCAGACGGCCATTCAAGCCGCCTCACACTGGCGGCGTACAGTGTCCGCGAGGAATCACATCTTGAGGTGATTGAAATGATCGACCGTCGCAGGTCGTCTACGGATGCGCCTTTTCGTGAGACTGTCCACTCGCCGTCGGCGGGCAGACTCGAACGCTTCAGCCCCTGGCGCCTACTTCAGGTCCTCGTTACCAGGCCCGGAAAGTGGAAATCTCTCCTTCTGTCTCGCGATTCGTCATTGCCTGGTTAATGATCCAACTAGTGACTAGGTATTCGAGCATTTCGAAACGGTTCAGAAGGTCGATCTATGCGTTGCTACAATGGTAAGCGAACTTGGCAAAAGCTTGTGTGCCTATTTCCCCAGGACGCTCTGCGCCTCCAAGTTTGTTGTTTTCCTTGTGTCACTATCTTCTTCTTCTTCTTCTTCGACCATTATTTGTTGAAAGCTCTGTGAGCTTCCTATCTGGCTTCACTCCTTCGCCAGACCTTTATCTTGTCCAAGTGGCCATGCGCTTTACCAAACCAGCTGCAGTGGCAGCATTCGTTCCCTTAGTTTCTCATTTAGTAGATGCGGCGCCTCGGAAAATAGAAGTCGCTACTCTAGGCGGCGCGGCCTTTCGAATCGAACAGGCTCCCAACCCCGACTTTTACTACGGAAATAGACGAGGACCTATCGCACTGGCCAGAGCCTACTCCAAATACGGACAACAGATTCCTGACGATTTACTGGGGCTCATTGATCAAATCCTTGGGGAGCTTGGGTTGCTCAACGGTGGTCAAGGCAAAGGCGGCCATAAGGGGGGCAAGGGGGGCGGCAAAGGAAAGGGCAAGGGAGGTAAAGGAGGCAACGCTGGTGCTGGTGGTTCCAAGGGCAATGGCACAACCACTGCTCCAGGAGGAGGCGGAGGTCATAGGGGGAACGGCACGAAAACCCCTCCAAGTGGTAAGTACATACGTTGACTTGTCTGGCTCAAACTCACAGGTCTCAAGGAGAGGTTGCCGCAATTCCTGCCGAGTTCGACAGCCAATATATCTGCCCTGTCCAGATTGGCACACCGCCCCAAACGATACCGCTCAACTTCGATACCGGGTCCTCGGATCTATGGGTCTTCAGTAGCGAGACGCCAGTCACCCAAGTCGTGGGGCAGACAATCTACAACATCAACGCCAGCTCAAGTGCCAAAGTCCTAAAGGGCGCTTCCTGGTCGATCTCCTACGGCGACGGTAGCTCGTCCCAAGGTAATGTCTATAAAGACACCGTCACAATCGGCGGCGTAACCGTCGAGAGCCAAGCCATCGAGTCTGCTACTCAAGTGTCTTCGTCCTTTTCTCGAAACAAGAACCAGTCTGGGCTTGTTGGGCTTGCCTTCGGGAATATCAACACTGTCGAGCCCGCCAAGCAGAAGACCTTCTTTGAGAATGCAATGTCCAACCTTGCCATGCCGCTGTTCACAGCAAATCTCAAAAAGGCAGCCGGTAAGTCCCACACCCTCACTGCCTCACTCCAAATTTCTTCGAGACTCCTGACTTACCACCATTTCAAGCCGGTAACTACAACTTTGGCTTCCTTGACTCTACAGAGTACACCGGCGACATCACTTTCGTTCCCGTCAACACGACGCAAGGCTTCTGGCAATTCACGGCCCAAGGCTTCGCCGTCGGCTCCAACGGCAGCGCGCCCACCTCTGCACCTCACGAAGCCATCGCGGACACCGGCACGACGCTCATGCTCTTGCCTGATGCCATTGTCTCTGCGTACTACCAGCGAATCACGAGTGCAAAATACGACTCGACCAACGGCGGCTTCGTCTTCAACTGCAAGGACCGAATCCCGTCATTCACCGTCGATATGGGCAAATACCAGGCCGTCGTCCCTGGAGATTTTATGAAATTCTCCCCGGTTGATGGCCAGACGATTGAGACTTCGACGACTTGCTTCGGTGGCATCCAGAGCTCCGCGGGTCTGCCTTTCGCGATCTACGGGGATGTGTTTCTTAAGTCACAGTTTGTGGTCTTCCATGGCGGGAACAAGGAGTTGGGATTTGCGAGAAAGCCCCTGTAATAAGGTAGACGCTGGACGTTATCTTTTTCATGATGCTTGGGGTGGCAGGATACGTCTTGATGGTTTCCAGCAGCCACCACCATAGACGGTATGTTTTGCTCATTTGGTAGAACAGATTCGAAGACACTTAGAAAATAATTTCTACCTCTTAGTCCATCGGAAACAAAGGCCTGTTCACCACAGGCACGCATACTTCGAAAGCACCGTTACAACCTCGTTGGAACCTCAGGTTGGTCCAGCCCACCCACTCACTCCCCCTTTTTTTCATCCCAACATTCAAGCCACCCATGGCCTCAGGAAACCTGGAAGGCAACCACGAAGCACCACGTCTACCCTTTATCTACAACTTCTCCTCTGATTCCTACCAGCCCTCGGGGACGCCCGGGGAACGCATTAGCCGAGCGGTTAAACACAGAGCAGAAAATTCCACTAGGGGGGTGGGGTTTTCATAGGTCGAGGGTTCGAGTCTGCTTGCTCAGGGCGCCCTGAGCGAGCAGACTTGATTCTCACCGAACTTTTAGGATAAATTTTCTAGAGATCATTCCTTTTTTGTTCTTTTTCTTTACTTGTGTCTGATTCACCAATTGGACCTCTTGGTCTGCGTGGTTCTTGAGGTGTGTTCTGAATAAAGTGGCGATGAGATGGGTTTATTCAACAGCGGTGTTTGTGAGTGGAAGGCACGTCGATTTCTCTCCTGCCTTGAATAATTTCCATACACGGAAAGTAAAATTGATGAGCCGCTCTCTTTTCCTCTCGATCAGTATTTGAGAACACCATACAAGCAGGCAGGGCCTTCTTCCAAGGGATCACGGGTTTACTATGCTCTGTCTATTTTCCACGCCCTGCAGACGAATGTGGCATCACATACGCTGGGAGCACACGGCCTTCCCCCCCCC